TGTTCTGATTCTGTATCTGATTTATGCACCTTTTCCAAAATAATTTGGTGGCCTCAGAATTGTTTGGAACAAGGTGCAGGAACAGGCCAGTTTTTCCAAAGCCACCTAAGAACATTCAGGGTGAATTTAAGGTTTTGTTTGATCGGGTTTTTGGGGGGTTTGTTTGTGTTTCAGGTTTTTTTACTGCAATCATCTCTTTGTTTTATGCTGCAAGGAGCTGATGTACCAATTCTAACTAGTTTGCTAAAAATAACTTGAAGTTCCAGATCTGCAGTTTAGGTTTATCTCCTATTTACACTTCAAAAGCAAGGACAACGTGCAGACCTATTTTACTGTTAAACAGAGAGTCATCATCTTGTAAGGAATAGCCTTGAAATCCTACTTTGATCCACATGTTGTTTATGGATACAGAATTTTCTCCTTGCTCCATCTCTGTTTTATTTTGTTTGAAGGAGAATCAGTTAGAAATCAGATCCTTATCTTGAAGGGGACTTGTGAATTACTTTTTTGTCTGTCATAAATTATTTCTGTATGTTAATTATGGTACCTTTCTATGCCTGTTCAGTTGGACAATTGCACAAGATCCTATTAATTGGCCTTTCTTTCAGGCCAAAATTTGTAAAAAATATATTCTGACAGCACAGTAAAGTAAAGTAGAAGCAGCAGGAAAAACAGAGAGTTAAAGCAAATAAGAGCAGTTGATCCTTGGCAATTCTCTGGCTGTTTGAAGCCAAAACTTTGTATCCCCAGATTTAGCCCAGAGACTTTGGGCTTTGAAAATCATCCATGAATCTTCAGGCCCAAGAATTTGATATGAACTGTCCATTAGAAGCATCAATCTCCATAAACTCAGGATATAACATGGGAGTTACTGAGGGGAAAGGAATTCCAACACTTTTAGATCACAATTATTTAAGCCGAGGAGAAATTAATTCCATATTAAGTGGGTGTAGAAAAGCTATCATGATTCAATACCCAGAAGAACCTATTTGTAGTCCTGTGTGATGATTAAAATTAAAGGAAAATGTGAACATTAAACACAAAAAATCATGGGATGCCATTTTCTGTGTGAGAAATGAAGATCCTGTGCTTTGGTCAGCCCAGTTCAGTATAATCTTGCAAAACAAAGCACTGCAGCAATCCCTGAGTTGAGAGGAAAGGTAAACTCCAATGTTCTGTTACAGAAACAAGGGAAATTCAGTTATTTTACACTGAGACAAGATCATCCCTTTCAGTAATTTGCCTCAATCTCTTCTGCAGTCAGACAGGACAAATTGTGCTCTTCTGAGCTGCTCTGGGACACTCTTACCATCTCCTTTATACCTCTATCTTCTCCATTATGTCACTTATAACTGAGAACTGATGTTATGAATAATCATAACCAGTCAAATGCCTTTCTCTCTCTCTTCTTGGATTGAATGCTTAATTCTTGAAATAGGAATATGTTGTCAGTAACAACTAAAATTATATTTTCTCTTGTTTTCATCAAAATCTCGAACTGTTTTGTAAATACCTGGTTAGTTTCCTGCTTGTGGCTACTTAATTAATGGCCCTTTTTGGTGAAAGGGGAGACTGAGGCATATAGAAACGAAATCACTGAGGCAGGACACGTGGCATTGGCAGGAGCCAGGAATAGAATTCAAACCTACTGCCTAAGTGACTTCCAATGACAGGAATAGATACACCCTTTAGGCAAAATACAGATGCATGAAAATGTTTGGAACTTGACAGCCTGGAAATATTGCATGCTCCCTGAAAATATGTCATTCCAGTCTGTCAGACAAAAATATCTGTGAGAGGGAAAGGGATGTTCACAGAAGACAGATTACATATAACGATATTCTATAGAAACCTGGAAATATTTTTAATATCATCAGTAAATTTTACTGGACATTAAATACCTCAGTATTTCTCAGGTGTCCTTGAGGCTTTTTATGTATGGTTAACATTAAACCACAAGTTCTTCATGAAAATTTTAAGGTAAGACACAAAGGAATATGTCCACATTATAAAATAGATGTACACTGATGCATTTCATGAGTAAGTTATGATTATTTCTACTATATCTTGCATGATATTTCCATGCTAAGAGTAAAGTACCTGAAAGTGTGGGATTTTTTTTAAATGCACCATCCCAGAGTCTCCCAAATGGGATATTTAGGTGACACGTTTCACTGGGAGTGCTGGAGTAGTGAAAACACACAGAATTTGGGAAGTAAAAAAAGCCTCAGAAATGGAGGACCCTCCTCCTACTCCAAGCCAAGACTTCGTGAGTGAAGAGAAATGCTCCTCCCTGAGCAGCTGGAGCTGAAGGACTTGTAAATTAAAGGATCCAGAGCAACACAAGAAAGACACAACACTAAAAAAGCCTTGCCCTAAAACTCCTGTTGGGAAGAGTGATGAGGGTGATGACACAGAGTAGCGTGTGGGTGTCTGTGATTCTGCCTCGCTGCGTGGTTCTTTGGGCTGCCTAAAGCAGGCCACTCTTTTTAGAATCCCCTTTTTCTGCAACATCTTAAGCTGTTTGTGTCAAGCATCAGGCAGCTTTGAGGAGATAAATGTACCCATGTGAGTGGAGCGTTAGAGGAGAACGTGTTTATTTTCTTGTGGGCAGCGTGGGACAGTTTGGAGCGGAAATCACATTTTCCACAATGAGACCTGATCACATAAAAGGTGGAGGAGCAGGTCCAATAGCCTGGGAAACAGCAGTGGGTGCACAGGGGAGTTCTGTGAGTGCACAGAGGTTGTTTAGCAGAGTGGCCACAGCCTGCAAGGACAGCACTGAGCAAAATTAGATTCCTTGGGCTTGAGGTGATTTGATGACACTCGACTTCTCACAGATCAGCCCCTTAATTCAGCTGGCAAGATTAGCTGAGCTAGTGTTAGTTGAGATCAGTATGCCCTGGACCCTGAGAGGAAGCTCAGCTGAATTTGTGGGATGATGCAGTGGAGTGACACAGCACCCTTGGAGCTCTGGAACCTCCCAGTGCCAGCTACTGTGTGTCCCCCTGCTCACATTAACAAAAAGGACTTGGCAGGATCTGACACTGTGCATGAATTACTTTATTTCCTTGATCACATCAGCCATACAGGGGAATGTTATGTGGAGGAAAAGAAAATCTTTTAAGTTCTTGCAAGGAGTTTTTTCCTCCTGCAGAACCTCACTCATAACAAGGGGTTTCACTCCGGTCGGTCTGGTGCTCTAACGAAGCCGTGAGCTCCTCTGGGTGATTGCTAAGTGGGATTCCCTGTCATAAGCCTGCCAAAAGCTGAACTTTTGCTTTCCCTCCCTCATTAAGAAACTGAATTATGCTTTCAGGGTTTTTTTAAATTTTTTTGTGGTGAGACTAAAATTCATTTCCCTGCCTGTTCTGTTTCTGTAGCGGCTCAGAGACTGCTGTCTAGGGACGAGTACAACAACAGAGCTGGGAAGGACTAACATGCTTGCTGTGTTCTGCCAGCCCCTAGTGACCCAATGGCATTCCATCATCCTCCCTGCAGTTTTGTCTTTGATGTGTCTAATCACTTTTAAGCCAGTATAAAATGTGGGCATTTACAGCATCCTGTAGCAATGAGTTGCAGAGTTGAGCAAGACGAGCACAGGACCTGGTTTCACTTATTTTGAATGCACATTCTAATTGTGTTCAGAGCCCTCTGATGCTCCTCTGGGAAGCTGGGAACACTCAATCTCTCATCTCCACGGCACTTTCGATTTTATAGATCCTGCCACCTCCCTCCTCAGCCACCGAGTGTCCCCTGACTGAGGAAAGCAGTTCTCAGCCACGGCCCATTAAAGGTGCTGGATCATTTCTGTGTCACATTTATTTGCTTGTTTTCTTCCCTCTTCTTCCTTTTTGTATCTGTTTATCTTTTTTGAGATGGGACACCACAAGGAATCTGACCCAAGGACATGGCATTCCTTTGACAATAACACATGGATATCCTACAATCTCAATCTTTTTCTAAGGATTCTAATTATTGAATTATTGCTTTCTCTGATGCTACTTGGGGGTTTCTGGACCTGGCTGTTATAACTATTAGATCTTTTTCCAGATTGGGAATAGCCAGTTGACAGCCAGTCACTGTGTTTGAATGTTTAGGATTGGTTTTCCCTTGTCTTCACCTTTCAGATTGCATCTGTTTGCCCCCACAGTGTTTACTCTAGAAATATTTCCACTTAGTAGTTTTAAAAAAATGTGCTCTGCTATGAAGCAGAGGCAAATGGATCACCTTCAGTCAATTTACAATTTTGAAAACAACTGAATTATTAAAATAAACTTTATAAATATTTAGAGAAACGATTGATTTTTGTTTTACAAATGTCTTGTGGGGAGTCAGACAAAGAAATTAGCTTTAGAAGCGTGGCTTAATCATGCTGCATTAATCAAGAGCTTAACTAGGTGCTGCTTTTCAGGCTAGAGGGGTAATGTTCATGCTTTTCCTCTTGGAGGAAATATCTGTCTAGTAACTCAGATTTGAATGTGTTTTTATAATCAACCTGAAGAGGAAGGTGGGCAGAGATGTCATCCTGCCTTCTCCACCTGTGAGAAAGCTGAAAAGCTGCACTTTATGTCTTTCAGTTGGGAAAAGTGCAGTGGCAGCTCCTCACTAACAATGTGAGCACAGGAACTCCTCGAGCTGTCAAACCCACGGGGAGGAGGAAACGACACCCTTGTAAATGATTTGGTTTTGTCAGAAGGGAACAATGTGTTTGGAGGGATTGCTCTGTTGTCTCAGGAACGCAGCATAGTGTGAAGCAGAGGGAAGAAATTCCATTGTCTGACTTCTGCAACAGAGGTGGAGAAACTTCCTGACAACTGTGTGTGTCGTTTTTTCTTTATGGGGACCAGACTATAAATCCCCTCCACGGCACACGGTGGGGGAACTTGGCTGCCTTTGGGTGTTCAGTGCTAAATGTGCTTCCACCAACATCACTTGTGTTTGGCATTGACTGCCAGGGCTTGCACTCATTTATCTGTACCCCTGCTTTGCTTTTCCAGGGTGTTCTTGAGAGCCATCAATAAATTTGCGGAGACGATGAACCAGAAATTTTTGGAGAATATGAATTTTGAAGTCCAAGTAAGTATTTAGGGGTTTTTTAGCTGGCTCCAGGTGGTGTGTGCAGGTCTGCAGAGCCCCATCTGGTCCTGTGCATCAGCACCAGGTGGGCTGGTGGTTGGAGTGGGACAGGATTAGGCCACCTTTGCTAGGACATGAGAATCATGCTTTGATTATTTCTGATAAGGCACCCAAACAGAGTATTTTGGTCTGTGATTCTGTCAGGACTGGCAAGCAGAAAACTCATTTTTTGTCTTAGCCAGCCACGAGCATTCAGAAAGTCAGTCTTGGATATAGTGCATGGAGCCTTTACAATGGCAGTATGTAGGACAGACAAAGCTTAACTCTGTTTGACTCCTGGAGTATTTAGCACTTAGAATTTATTTTTAACTTGTAGTCTTCCCTGAAAAGTCTATCTTTATTTCTTTATTTCTGTTAGTTTCTTCTGAAATAATTTTTAATTAAGGCTCAAGGTTTTTTATGTTGCTCAAAATCATTCCTTGTAACCTAAACATTGGGTAGTGCATTTTACCATGTTTGGCTTCCTTTAGATGAAAATGTCTGTAGTTTTCACACTCATTAAGTTGTTATTAAAATATAAATACAGTTATTGATTCAGGATTTGTCACTAAGTGCTGCCTGATAGAAACAGATAGAAAATACACTGACAAGGTATGGTATGAAAAGTGATTCTCTTGCACTCTTACTATGAATTTCAGGGTTTTGTCTTCTTGCTTTCTTGGGGTTCATACTTTGCAGTTAATCTCACAACTTGCAATCTGTTTTAGGTGACTCCATTGTGCTGCACATGAATGTTCAGGCTCATTGTGCTAAAAACTGTTTGGGGTTTGTCTCTTGGTCCTCACCATAAACCCCCTTGGTCACAAATAGCTGCAGAGCAGCCACATGAGGGGTTACACAGGAAGAGTTTAAAAGACAACAGTAAAAAGAAAGTTAAAACATTCAGTTCACACTCAGTTACACAGTTCCCAAGTATGAAATGTAGAGCTTTTTCCTCATTTGTACCTTCAAAATATGTGACTTTGTAAGTATATCTATATATCTACAAAGTTAATTAGGATTTTTGAATCATGGGGAAAAAGGTTTCTTCTGGCAAACTTAAAATTTGTTTTTAGTAAATACCCCTGTTGGAAACTCTCTTTGACATATTTATGATGTAATATCTCAGGCTCTATCAGTTTATTAACAACTAATTTATAAGCTATGATTTCTGTAGCCCTTGATCACTTTTTACTGAGTGATGTCCCAGTAATTTTTACAAGCAGGTATCAAAGGCCTGAAGGACATCACTATGTGCAGGCTGCCAAAACCACACAGACTTTAAAGAATGTGTGTCTTTCCAAGTTTTATTGAGCTGTGCTCTGCCTCTTTCAGAGGGGAGAGCAGCAGTTCAACGTGGAGCTTTCACTGCAGCTCCTTCCCGTGGCAGTTCTGTGTGTTCCAAAGTGTCACCAAACAGTTGTGGTCCAACCCTGCACCTCGCAGCTCAAGGGCATGCATTAATGCTCTTTTATTCATGACTTGTCAAACAGCTGCAGGCTCTGAGTAAGCTAAACAATGTTAGAGTAAACAAGGAGAGCCTTGTAAAGAATTGTAGCACCCTCATAGTCTTCATAAGACACTTAAAATCACAAGCCAAGCAGATGCTTTACTTTTCTTCCGTGAATTAAAGCTCTGCAAACCTTCCAACAGTTCCCTAAATATACCTGTTTAAAAAGCTGCTGTTGGGCTAAAGAGGGTCTGAATGGTGCAAAGCACATTGTCTTACCTTCTTCATTATAAATTACAATTTGATTTTCCACTGGATGTATTCTTTTACATCAATATAACTCAAAAGGCTCACAAAACCAGTAAAAATAAATAGATGTTTCTTCTAAATTATTTAGTTTTAAATTACAAATAAATGTATTCTAGTATATGAAAGAGATTGTTCCTGAAGTGAAAGCCTCACATGAGGATGCCATATATCCTAGAAATCAGTTTATAATTTCTTATGTTGTTCAGAGGTTCCAAAAGGTTGTTTCTGGCTAACCTTGCTCAGTGGCTGTGCTAACTACACATGGCTTGAAGTTCTGCATACTTGCAGGAAGTTTACAAGTGGCATTTTTCTCCAAAATCAAACTAATGAACCCATTATCCATCTGAAATGTGTTATGGCTGCTGGTCTCCAAGGGCTGAGCTTGCTTTCACTAAAATATTTCAAGAAAAAAAAAACAACACCAAAACTGTCATCTTGTCCATTTTAGGATATGCTTGAGTTTCTTTTGCATCTGCAGTGATTTGTCAGAAATTCAAAAGGCTTACAAAGACTTCATGTTTCTCCTACATGAAAGGATTTTTTTTTCCCAAATAAACCCCTGAGCAGAGATATCTGTAGGGCAATGGCCAAAGGGTGGTCTTAATGCACAAGAGGTCTTTGTTGCAGAGGTGTGTGAAGAAGGAGGCAGCAGCCTTTATTTATGGATGATTTTTCAGGATAATTATCAAACCTCCTCTTTGTGAGATACTTAGAAATCTCCTACCAAATCAATTCCATATTTTCCAATTGGGCACATGCCCAAAACATCTTGAGTGTTATTGTGGGCTTAAGAGAAAACAAAATGGGTCTCATAAGGAAAGTTTTTTACATTTTTAAGATCTGTTTCTATCTGGTTTTACCTTTGAGAGGCTAATCTGCCTCACAGGGTCTTAAAGTCAGTTCTGGTGCTTAAAAGCTTGCAAGTCCTTAATTTGAACATGCTATTGAAATACAAAGGATCCTATTTTTTCAGCCATTTTGGGGTACTCTGAGGACAAAAGGAAATGTATTTTATAAATCAGGTTATTGAGTTTATGTACTGTGTCTCTCTGATAAAGGTGGCACTGTACTTGGAGCTATTAAGGGAATAAATAGACCAGTATCTTTAGTAATAAGGCTTCATTTTTCTGTCTATAACCTAGAACGATTTGAGACATTTTCCATTTTCCTGGGATAATTGACACATGCCAAGTGAGTGCCCTACACCTCAATCAACACACCTTCTCAGAGGGCTGACAGCTCTGCACTGGTCAAAATAATAATTTAATATATTTGATAGGAGAGGAAAGGAGGGCTTTTGGGGCACAAATATTGTTTATCCTGACAAAAAGGCCCTGGATGAGGATGGTGTTGAGTTGATGTGTTTGCAGCAGGGCCAGCTTTGAAATGATCAACTCTGCTAAGGAGAGCTTTGGTTGGGCCTCAAAGGGAGGAACAAATTTAACTGCAGGATCTTCTGCACATTATAGACAATAATTCATTTAGGAAATGTCTGTGGTTCCATGTGTGTTTCTGTGTGTCAGTCTCTGTTTTTCCTGGGTATTTGCACACCAGACTTTTCCAGGCTAGAAAGGACAGGGGTCACTCCAGTTTTTCATGGAACATTTTATTTCCACTGTGGGTTCCCAACCCAGGGTGGTGTTACACCATACAAAATGAAGAGCTCTGTTACAAGTTTTGTTTCAACCCTTTAAATTGACACTAAACATATTTACCATTGCCTTTCTATCTCTCTATGATACCTACCACTATTTTCCAGATACAGCTACGTCTTTAAGTGCCTGAGGCTGTTGCTGACTGCTTAGAAGCTTTTGAAAACAGTATTTCCTTCCTTAAATTTGTGTTTCCTAGTCAAGTTTCTCTTTTCCCTTTCCATTCTTTAACATGTGAGAAGTACTTTGATTGTCTGGAGAACAAATAATTTGCTTTCAGGAACGAAGGGTTCTGCACTGGAAGTGAGAGAGGGTTTCATCTTGTTCAAGTACATGACATCAGTAGTCATTTAGGGCTGTATTTTGTCCTTCTTTCATGTAGAGAGCTCTTCACAAATTATATTGGAATTTCATACAAATGCTGGTTGAATTAGCATCCAAAGAGGAGACAGTGGATGCTTTTTGAAGTGGTGCTCAAATGCAGTGTAATTACAGTGGTGCCTTTAGCTCCAAGTTAAGATTCACCAGTGTTACTGTGTTTCCCCAGTCCTGCCTCGGTTCAGGGTTTAATGTTGTTGGCTAATGAATCTCCTGTGAATCTTTTTTTAGCAATATTTATTCAGCTGCTCTGTTATTAAAAGCAAATGTGTAGTAGTGGTTATTAAAATTCATCTTTCTTGCTTTTCTGCTAATTGCATAATACTAATGATGAACATCTTTGCACAATAGAGAAATCTCATATTGCTTGCACCATTTGGTTTCATAAATTATTCTGCATTATGCATCATTTAATATTTTTCCTACTTTCCTCAAAATTATTATAATTTCCTTATATTCAATTTACAGCTGTGGAACAACTACTTTCATTTGGCTGTGGCTTTTATTACCCAAGATTCACTACAACTGGAAAACTTTTCCCATGCAAAATACAACAAAATCCAGAACAAGTAAGCAAAAATGTATATTTAATTTGTATCTTTAATTCTGTAGTAAAATTATAAGAAAGGCAATGATAAAATCACCTTTTATATTTCTTTTTTCCCCAGATATGGAGATATGAGGCGATTAATTGGCTTTGCCATCCGTGACATGTGGTACAAACTTGGTGAGTACTTGGACCGCTGAATTTGTCTCATGTTTCTTGATTCATTGACAAATATCTGACACAAAGTGCTTTTGTAAATATTTCTGCTATTTGAACTTAAAATATGTTTTCACTCCTGTGATTAAGCTTGGAACTGTCATGAGATACAGTTTGACTACTGCCAGTTTTTCATCTCCAAGAGAACAACCTTCTCTCAGATTTCAAACGTGGCTGAAATCGGATTTCAGAAACCTTATTTTGTGGAATTGAGACTGGAGAGATTTTCCCTGGGAAGGTTCTTGCTCAGCCCTGAACCTACAGTTCCAGAATTTAGGAGACTCAGACTTGGAATCTGTTTGGGTTAAAATTCCAAAGTGTTTTTATGTTTCCTGTCCAGCCACATTCTGCTGCTCCTCCTTTTAGAGTTTCTTATTAACTCCTTTGGGATCATTTCTTATTAACTGAACTGCTGTAGAATATTTGTTTCATCTTGGAAAACTTTTTTGTGGCAATTGTGTGGAAAACCAGTGTGGAGAGGAAGATCAGACTCAGAATACTTAGTTATGGAACAAGTCTAATCACAATTGTTTCTGACAATATTTTTATCTCCTTGGAAGCTTCAGGCAGTACTGACATTCTTGCCCAGGTCATTGGGTTTGCTGCTGATCTGCTGCACATCAGAGCAGGGTTTGAAGAGCATCTTGGACCTGGTTGAGGGTTTTTTTTGCAGATTTGGGTAATTTTTGGCAGCTGATCCAACAGTTGTGCTCCAGGAGAATTCTGTGTGGTTTTAGGAGTTGAGGTGATGGCTGCAGGTGGCAAATGGGGGTGGGAAGCATAATGGGTACAACTTTAAGACTACTCAGTCATTATCTGAAGGAAATATTCAGATACCAGCATGGGACATGAAAACTTCTTCCAACTGGACGAATAACAAGAAATCATGTTGATGGCTGATGTGGTCAATGGAAATGACACCCTGCCTTGTGTACCCAGTACCAAAGAAATGGATGACAAGGAAGCAGCTGTGGGACAAGGGTGGAGCCAGAAGGGAAGAACAGTGACAGTTTAGCAGAAAGTAAATCTCTCATGTTTTGCTTAATAGGAAAAGCCTTCTTGAAGCCAGGAGAAAATGAGTTTGTTGTTCTTTGAAGCACCCTGGGATGAGTCAGGCTGTGAGTGTGGCTCAGGAGGGGTGGGAAGAGCCTCAGCTCTGGGTGCTGGAGGGATCTGTTGCCCGTAGCCAAAGGACCCTCAAGAAGCAAGAGCCCAACCCCAAATAAATGTGGGGGCTGGTCCTATTTACATGTAGGAGTGGTCAGACCTTCTGAGCCTTGTCAAGCTCAATTGTTTTGTGTAAAAGCCACAGAAAAAAAAAATGGACCAGCCCAACTGGGGCACTACTGAATTTTGGGGCACAAAAAGAAAACTGAGAGAGTTCTCCAAGGTAATTGCTAAGAACTAATGGCTTTTGCTTTTTCAGAATCTCACAGTTCCGAGCTGGCCTCACAGCAGGTGATTGTCATCTGCTTTCAGAAATAGAAATACACTTGAATTGATAAGCTTCCAGACAGTCTTGTGGCTGATCACTTCTATTTACTGCAGTTTTGATGCATTGCTTGGTTTGATTTATTGGTTGCAATGTCTGATGTTATTCAGAAATGAAAGCAAGTAATGGTTTTCTCCTTCATAAGCCAGAAAGGTTGCAGAGTGTGGCATTGCTGTGTGGTTCTCTCCTACTGAGAAAATTTGGAGACTTCGCAGGTTTATTTATTACTTTCTACTCTAAATATTTATAAGGAGGTGTCAAAAGCTGAAAAACTGAAGTGTTCACTGACAAATGTCAACTCAACTCATATGAATTGGCATGAATAGCCAATCCAAGCCTATTCCTGGCACTGAAATCTTCCACTTTGGAAGGAGACAGTGTCCATTCACATTCTCCCAGCCTCTGAGAAGGAGCAGACAGGAGCTGTAAGACTTTACCAACACAGATGGCTTAAACAGTGCTTTAAGTGATTGCATGTCCTGACATGCTTTCCTAAAAGTGGGGTTTTTTCACCTCAAATATCCAATTTGTGGTTTTGCTTCAGGCCAGAACAAAATCTGCTTCATCCCTGGGATGGTGGGACCCATCTTGGAAATGACTCTCATTCCAGAAGTGGAACTGCGAAAGGCCACGATCCCAATTTTCTTTGACATGATGCTGTGTGAATATCAGAGGACAGCAGAATTCAAAAAGGTAATTAAAAACACTCTGTGTGGAAAGGCATTAAAACATCATGTGCTCAGTATTTCTGGTTAAATGTGTGTCATGTGGGCTTTTCTGCTCCCAGAAAGTCAAATCCTGAGTATTAAGAACCAAAGGGATGGCTTTGTGCAGCAAGTGTGGGCTCTCCAGAGTGATTTAGTTGGACTCAAGTATAACTTTTGTTGCAGTGACAGCAATAAGACACTGCAATAGGGGCCTGGAGAGGTTGTAGGATCTCAATCCAAATTTTCAGAGTTTTACTGAGAAAGCTTCTGAGCAACAAGACTTACACTGAAGGCAGCCCTTTGTTAAGTAGGAGGTAGAATTAAATGACCTCTGGGGATCCTCTGTAATCTAAATTTTTCCTTATCCCCTTTCCTTGTGAGATAATGATAAGCCGAAATGTCCAGTATTTAGTACAGAGTATGTGACAGAAGTAGCAGTGAATAGTTAATTCCATATTATCACCCTTCCCAGGGAACTCTTAACTTTGCTAAATGTTTATTGTGAGAAAAATAACCACTGTGAAGAACTGACATTCCTGAGGTGTTCTCTGCAGTCGTTTTGAAAAGAAAAAAGATTGTTTAAATCACAAGGATGAAATATTTTTGATTGATGGAATAGAAATAGGGATGGTGGGAGAGGGCACTTGGAATGTTAATCTAAATCCCCTCTCACTGCTTGCTGTGCCTACCTGGACAGTGAGTATCCCGTGGTTTCTTCCCTATCTGACATCTCCATTCTCATCAGCCTCTTTGGGCATGGACTCACCTTATTCTGTGTTCCAGAGTAACTTTTCCCAGTAAATTTTGAATTGAATATTCAGGCTTTGTAATTATGCAACTTACAAACTCAAACCAATGTGTGTAAGGGGAAGTGACAAACAAAAAGGCATCATTTCAGGCTCATGTAAATATAAATATCTCGTGTACCCAGCTATGTTTAATACTCTAAATCATTTGGGGCATTTCTGTGTCAACTAAGTGTGGAACAAACGAGCAGATGGAATTTCCATTTTGGTCTGTGTTCCGCAGTGCAAAGCTTTTGGTTCGAGGCCAAGATTAAAAACCACTTTGCCTCTCTGCATCTGTTCCCTCCGTGTCCTGCTAGTCCTATATTTGCTGTCTTAAAAATGTTCTCCTGCACATGGCTTATACCTCGTCCCCTGGGAGAGGCACAGAGATCTGTGCAGAGCAGAAATCCCAAGAACTCATCCGTCAAACTGCCCGATGAGCGGGAGCAGCAGCTTGGGAGCCTGGGAGGTGCCAGACACTTCAGTGACCCTTAAATCACCTCTCAGGCCAATGGAAAGAAGTTTCAGGTGATATTTTGCAGTGCCAAGGAACAAGGGCATTTTACTGCAGTTTAAGAGTGAAGAGGTAGTTTTTATTGTTAATTGTTTCATAATCTCATTAGATTCTAATGTTCTGCTTTAGGAATTGCAAATCATTTACTGGCCAGGAATTCTGAGTTTTATCCTCTCCTTTCCCAAGGATGAGATAATTAAGATAAATAAACTTGACTCTGTAAGTTTAGCCCTTCTGGTGAATTTTTAAAAACATATATTTTAAAGGAAAAGCACATTAGATTTATGGTTTAAAATTCTTGTAATCTTAATTAAGAAGGGAAAATAATTAATAGGAATGGATGATTATTGGATGCACAAACACACAAACTCTAGCTTTTGCTAGTGCACAATTTGTATATGCAAATTGACATTTAGAGCATAAAGGATATTTTCTGAAAGCTTTACTATAAAATTTGGAGAATGACAACAAGTTATTTCCAGAGTACCTGTGGCACTCAGGAGCCCAGAATGATATTCTGCTTAAAACCCCATTTTGCAAAGTTTAAAAAATAAATAATTTATTTCTAATCTAATCTTCTCTAATGAGAGAGGGGAGGAAACAAAAAATACTACAGAAACATCTTTACAAGCTGAGCCTGTACCAGCACTGGAACCAGAGCTTGTCTGGTGCCTCCCACATGATTTAATAACCTTTCCCAAAAAGCCTGTTTAACATTCCCTGGGCCTGTGCTGGGCCAGCACTACAACAGGACTCTGTTTTTGGGGGAGGGAGGCACACAATGAAAAGCAAAATTCCACCTGTAGTTACCTCAAGAATGACATGTTATACACATATATTTAACAGGTTGGAATCTATTCATAGGTGTTTGACACAGTCAGGCATTTTCTTCCAATCCCTTCTTCTACTTCGCACATGTAACTTCCATTCACTCCAAGCAGTGTTATGTAAGTTTATAATTTTAACTTTAATTGAAGATGGAGGGAGGGAGCCTTTATTAGCTACTAATTTTAACCATCAAGGATCTGTCTATCATGAGCTCAGAGAGTGAGGAATCTTGGAAAGGCAGTTTATCCCAGTTACTTTCAGTGTCTGTGGGTAGAATTAGTCCTGTGAATATATGCCTTTCTCCATCAAATATAGAGGATGTTTATGTGTTGGACACACACTGTTAAAAGAGTCCCATCCTCCAAATGTTGGTGACCCACCTTTCCTGGAAAAATCAGGGTGTGCATTTTATTAAGGCTTCCCAAAGCAAAATATATCATTAAGCAACCTCATGATCTTTGTTCTAACTGTAATCTGAGGCCAAGAGCTTGCTTTAAAAAAAAATAAACAAGCAAACAAAAAAATCAAACTGAAAAAAAAAATTAGCTCTTTGCAGAGTAAATGAAAATATCATTGAAATAAACAAGGATTCGAGTTAACTTATGGATTTAACTTGGCTTAGGAGAGATTAATTCATCTGTGTTTATGTTTTTGTTTGAATAAGTCGCTCTGTTTGTGTTTGGGTTTTTCAGTTTAGCATCTCTCGTGGGTTCTGCAAACTGCTGGAGCCATCTGGGGGAGTTCTGTGTGTTTGCTTTCCTTCCTGACTGCTGTGGGACTGTCAGGAAACAGTGCTGGCTGATGGGCTGTTCTGGGACTCGCAGATTTGTTGGAGGACAGATGCTCATTCCTGGCGATCCTGATGCAACGTCCCATCCTTCTGAGCTCAGAGCTCTCACAGGTTGCTAAATGAGTATTTTATCTCAGCAAGGTTCCCCCCTGGTGCCTGTGATTTATCACTGCTGTAAATAGCCTTATTTCTGGCTCTCAGCTCTTGAAACTTTGTTGTGCAGAAAGATTTCAGAAGGACGTGAGATCCTCCCAGCAGCAGAACCCAGATTGGTACAACCTGGGGCTTCCATGGGGGAAACAGGGACCTGCTCTTGGTTTGGGATTGAGGTGTGCTCAGAGCTGGGGAGATTCCTTGGATATATTAGACAGATGAGCAGGTGGGTCTAAAGCTAAACTGGTGCCAATGACACTAAGGCAGAGTCTGTTTAAATTAGAGGAGTCTTTAATTCCAGGGCTTAATTTTGGCAGAAAAAGACTAAAACTTAATTCTGTATTTCTGCCAGGTTTTTTACTTGTTTTGATCCAAGCAACTGATTCTTTTTTTTTTGCAACTTATTGAGAAACTGCAGGAAAGATGCTTAGGGAGAGTTTTTTTGTTCAGGTCCAGCAAAGTGAAATTATTGCCTCTTCGAGAAGTAATCAATTCTCGACCTGCTGAATAAGTACTAGGAAGGATTTAAGAGGTGGACAGTTTTTAACTGGTGCTTCACTTGCACTAAATTTACAGATTTCTGTCTTACTGCAGTAAATCCACACACTTCAGCTCTAGAAAATCGCTGGATTGGGTGTTTTTGTTTAATATTTCCTTGTTGTGCACTTATGTTACCCATATTACTAATACATATATAAACACTAATACACATACTGCTCACACATAGGAATTAATTCGGAGCCCTTTAAACTTCTTTTTTGGTCTGCACTAGACAGAGTAATTTTATTTTTCTTGTTAAGCTATTTTTCAATGATAGCTCTTTATTCTCTAGTATTAGTACAGTATGTACTGTTCCACAGGCAATCTTTAATTTGTATTCTAATTACAGAGAAAGAACTAATATTGGAGCAGCAAAACCTGCAAGTAACAGGACCAAGAGTTAAAAAACAAACCAAAGTCCTTTTTGGGCTGTACAGAAAAAATAAGGCTCTCTTTTGTTTAACACTTCTATAAAAAATAATTGAGAAACAGTACTAATGTAGAAGTCCTTCTATTCAAATCAGGAAACAGGCCTAACATTTCTACTGAACAATTTATAGTTTACTCTGAGAACATTATAGGAAGTGGTTCTTAAATGGACACTCTGAGATCTGAAGTCATGAGGTCTCTTGAGGAGCAGTGGGGAGCTCAGTGCACCACATTTACTGCTGATTTCTGCTCAAATCCTGGATTGCTCAGTGCTGCTGTTGATATTCCTCAGGTACATACTGCACAGGTCTCCACATTCACCCTCAGCAGTGAGCTTTTCTATGTAGGCATCTCACTGGGTAATAAATAGCAACATATTGTCTCAATTTTCCCCTTCATCAGAGGTTTGAACCATTCCATGCCCATCTAGAACTATCCATGCTTTCATGAGCAGTTCTTTCCTCCTCATTCACCTTAAGCGGTGCTGTCCCTGGTGCTGGGCTGGAGGAGGGACCTGTCTGTGCCATGGTGTGGTGTTTACACAACTTGGATCCAAGATGCCGTGTCACACTGACCCCCTGGTCGTGTTTAACCCCCTCTGTTTGAAGCTTGTCTGTCTGGGGCTGTGTTATGACCACCTGAACGATTTTGTTTCCATGCTTTTACTGCTGTGGGTTTGGTTTTGTTGTTTTGACCTGGTTTGAGGAATATGAAGTGGTGGAAGTTGCTGCTTCCTCCCTGCCCCTGCCAGAGAAGAGAGGATTGTATCTGCTCTGCCAGCTTCTCTGCACCCAGGCTGTGTGAGGAGTGTCAAAGTTTGGCTGCTCAAGGCTGCTGTTTCAAAGCTCCTTAGAAGGAGCAACACCCACCTCAGCGTTCTGTGGAAGAGCAGTTTGCAGGATCAGGATGGTCAATAGATCTGGGTTGGATGCTGGAGAACAATGGGCAACGTTTGGCCTTTGTTCTTGAAACATGCTGAGTAATTTTTCTGGGTGGAGAGTTTTAATCATGACCTACTTGAAAGAAGTGCATGGAGTAAAATGTTTTCAGACAAAATGTCATGAATGTCATGTTCTTTACAACTGAAGGAGTTGTCCCTTCCACAACACATCTGGAGAGATGTGTGACCTGTTTGGTGTTCTAAGGGAAAGGACTGTTTTCATCTGTGTAGCCCTTGGCTGAACCCTTCACTGGGGATATATTAAAGTAAGGTAAAAAAAATCTTGCATTGCAGTTATCTGAAAGTACCTTGCATAAAATACTACAGTAATTCTTTCCACTGTGAAAGGTTTCCAGTTCTCTGACAGGATGATCTGGATCCCAGTCTGCCAAAGCTCTCAATTACACAGAAATTCTCCAGGGAGAAACAGAATTATTCATGTAGGACAACTGCGTGAAATTTTGTGTGAAAGAGGAACGTGAAAGTTGCTGTGTTAGCACAGTAATGAATTCTGTCATTTTTACAGAGCTATTAATAATTAGATAATTAGATGTAAAGCAACAGAGCTTTATTTCACTGTAGGTCTCCACTAATGCTTTCTCTGGGCCTCTCAGTGTGCTCATGTGTACAAACATAACTCTACAGAGGTACATTTTCCCTGCCATGCTGAAATGTGTTTGCCCTCTGGATAGCTGCTCAGTGGTTTTTTTTCTTGCTTTGATAGTTTGAAAACGAAATCATTCTGAAGTTGGATCATGAGGTGGAAGGAGGACGAGGGGATGAACACTACATGCAGTTGTTTGAGTCCATGTAAGTAGTGCAAGAGAATAAATACCTTAAGAATATGTTTTTATCTTATTATTCCTAGTTACCAGGTTGATAACCTCACTTAAAATAGAATCTCAGCAGCTTTTTTTCTTCAAGGGACTGGAAACAGCACACTGCTTCTCTACACCTGGTTTGAATTGTAGTTTTGCTCATCAAAATGATTTTTCGAGTTACTTTTCATTATTTTGTGCTTTAGCTAATTTATGAAGAAATTATACCTGACCTGCATTTCTGCATACAACTTTCAAGCATAATCAAATATTCTCCCCACTATTAGTCTTTCCACACTTTTCTTTATAGGCTATTGTCCTGATTTCAGCCAGGGTAGAGTTAATTTCTTCTCAGTAGTAGTTTTTATTTGCACCAATAAGAAGGCATTTTAAAATGCTTTAGTTGCTCTTCTCAGTGTCTAGATTGGACTGCAAGCTATTATTGTCTGAATTTAAATAAGATGACTACCCTGGAACGAGAATATTAAGAAGTGCTAAGGTCTAATCAAAGTATCTCTATATTTCTGATAATCCTGAAGCCTCAGGCTCCATCATATAGCACCTCCCTCTCTTTTTGGCCATCCACACTCAGCTTTACTCCCAGACTGGATAGCCATGTTTACACTGATGGCAGGTTGGGTGTGATGTCTTGGGCAGTGCTGGAGTCCTTGTGCATCCCTCTGAGAGTTTGTCCCTGGCTTTGTGTGTTTTAGTTTGTCACAGCCCTCACCAGATGAACCATGAGAGCTTTGGTTACACCACAATAGAAAAAAGTCCACTTTCAGTGAAAGCTTTTTTTAAAAGAAATACTGAATTATATAATCAATTAATAATATGCATATGTTATCTTATTTATATAATATGTGATTATGTTCCAATTAAAAAGAAACTTCATTTAAATAAACCATAATTTAAATGTTTGCTATTTTACTTTACCTTCTGTCCTATAAGCAGGCAGATAAAATATAGAAAGGTAGACTTGAAAAACATGAAAGTACTGACACTTTCTAGGCAATATAAAACTATTCTTTGAAAGTGCTACATGGGCAAGGACAGATGAAGTTTGAAATACACCCTTTTCACTTCCTAACATGCAATGCCTGTGTTAACTGAGAGCAACAAACTGATTTTTCAGTCCTGAGTGTTTGCTGTTTGGCTTCAAGCCTTAGGTGGTGAGGCAGAGGTGCCCAAAGTGGCTCTTGGTATCATCCAAAAATGCTGCTGCTGCAGATGCTGAGCTGTGCTGCCCAACAGGGGGTCACTGCAGATCATCACCCCTGACCCCAGGGACTCAGCTGGCACAGGGGACTCTTACTGCAGTGCTAAACTTTGCTGCTAGTTAGTGTTTTTTCCAAATATTTCCTACAATGTCTCCATCTGTTTTAAAAGACTACATTTCCCTGAAGCTGGAGAGAGTAATCAACCTGAGATTTTATCAGTGCAAAGAGCAAAGGTTCCCTCAGACCTTGTGTGTGTGAGGCTCTTTGAAGTTCCCTCTTTCTGAGCTGCGTGACACTGTTTGCCTGCCTTGTTCTAACATTTTTCTGGAGAAGTGGCACCTCTCCAGTTCATCCCCATCTTTCAGTGGTGCACTCAAATAGTGTCATCAAACATACCAAGGAGCATTTGATCTCCTGCCCTCCCAAGGCACCCTCCTTGCTTTGACACACCTATTTTTCCCCCTAGTACTGTCCCACTTTCTACAAGGCTTCAAGTTCAAAGTTTCCACATTTCTAAAGATGCCACTTCATCTTATCTCCAGATAGTATTTTTCATTCCATCCTTGAAGTTGTTGAATGATGTTGAATGTAGAGGGACAGAAGGAAGCAGAGGTTGGTGACCTACCTGTGGTAGAATCTCCTCTCCCTCTCCTCTCCTCTCCTCACCGTTAGTTTGGTTTGGTTTAAATCTTCCTTCCTTCACACCTCTCAAGGCAGGGATTTCAAGCCTCTGTCCCCAGCTGGATGGGGACCCAGTTAAACTGGGCTCCACAGTTATTAATTTGGTCCTATTTTCATCAGCTGATTTCCCATAACTGCGTTCCTGCACAGTTCCAGTGCCAGCTGGATGCAGACACCGAGCAGCAGTCAGTGACTGTCTGGTGTGCTGATGGTCACCTCTGCAACCAGCATTCACCCACACTGGTGGGGTGCTGGGAAATTGCTGATTCCCAGTGAAATAAAGAGGTTCAGCAGAAGTTTAATTAAGCATCTGTCCCTGTCAGTGTGCCCCAGGTGGGGTTCTGACCTGTGCTGGTGAGTGCTGTCCTAGACAACACCGGGGAGGGAGCTGGGATAACATGGGATAGGTGAGAGGCTGTTTTCCATAGGCACAGTGCACAAGGCTGCCCTGTTTTGGGAAAAGCAGGAGGGTTTAGCTCTGTGGTGCCATGCCACTTGTCCCCAGGCTCAGAAAATGAATTCTGGCATGTTTTAGTTACTAATGTAGGCACAACAGAAACCAACATTTGGCAGCTCTCCAGTTCCTCCATCGTTGCAGTGGCCCATGTTATTCAGTTGTTTTCTTGATCTTTATTTAAAATATTTTTTATTTTAAATCTTCTATTTTTTTTCAAGCTCTGTTCAAAAGAATCAAAGTTTCTTTCTCCTTCCTGGGGGGAAAAAATTCTGAAGTTTTATGCTTCTTTTTATTGGGATTATTGCATAAAGCTGAGCGATACATTTTTTTAAATCTTCCCTCAAGAGACAGGTGTTCCTCTCTCCAGTTGTTTTTGTAGTTCTGCTTTATGTGCACTCCAGTTCACCTTTCTGTGGTGACTGGAGTTATGTGCTGTGTCCTGGGTGAGACCCAGCAATAGCTTGGGGGTTATGTCAAGGTTTTTCTGCTTGCATGTGACTCGTGTTCACTGTGCACTCAGGGAATGTTCAGAGGTCTGCCTCGTTTGCTGTCACTCCAAGGGAACCTTTGGCAAAAATTCCCAACAGTCACTTGAATGGTGACTGTGCTTTCCTCTGTTAGTGTCTCACCCTCTTTCTGATATGTAAAACAACACCATTTGTCCTGCATAATATCCCTACGTGGTTCTGAGGCTTTCCTTCCCACAAATATAATTTAACACACTCCAACCTTTCCTGTCAGTTGTCAGCTCTTCAATATTTATTATTTACCTCCAATCTGCAGTGTATTTAATGTTATGAGGCATATTTCAGCTATTTATTTAAATATTTCTGCTGTTGTTTCAGACTAATCAGACAACAGCAGTTAGAGTGTTGGGGTTTTATCTGTCCACCACATCTTGCACAATGTAAATGTTCTTTCAGACACCTGTGTACACCCTCCCTCTGTCTCAGCAAAGTAACTCCACTGGAGCTGTACAATCCAAGGAATAAACTTGAGGTGCTGGTTTTACTTTGCCTAAGCTGGAACTTTGAGCCTGGCTCCATTCTGGGCCAGAGTTTCCAGGATTTCCTTGGCAACTGAACTTAATATAAATATGTATTTTCTGAAGAAGGTTTAAAGAATTATGAGGAGCAAAAAAAAATAAATCTACAATTAATTAAAACATTGCGCTTTATAATAATTTTTTTAATAGTGTACTTAAAGATTAGTAATAAATTAAAGTTTTGCCTGGGTGTCTTGAAAACAATAATGTTTGATTTTCAATTGATATCAGTTGAATATCACAATTGAGTATTAAGCACTAAGAGGTCAGAACCTTCCCAGCTACCAATATAAAGCAGGGCTGCCTTGGGGAAAATTAACTGCTCCTCTGCCAGATCCAATGCATGCATCTATAATATATATGTGAAAATATATGTATATATGTGTGTATATAAATATATATGTATAAAATGCATATTTCCCAGTGGAAAACCAGAATATTAAGAAGAGCAAACAGGCAAAGAAAGAAAATAATCCTTAATGAGACACTGGTAATCACTTCATGATGCTCAAATAGTTAAGCTTTGTAATCAAAGCTCTGATAATAAAGTGAAATATCTACTCCTAAATCACTTCAGCACTTTGCAGAAACAGTATATGCTAATGTTTTGTTAATGTAAATTCAATCTGATGATGCCATTCTGTAAAACTCATTTTCCTCTATTTTTATCAAAGGAGATGGAGCAGCTCTTTTCAATCTGCAGAAAGTTGATTGTTTGGTTTTGCTTATTTCTCCAGGGCAAATTACTCTGGTGAGGCCTTGTTAGTGAATGTCTTTTTTGACCTAAAATTGTAATTTTTGTTGGTTTGAACTTTCTACTCACGTGTAACTGTACAAAAAGAAGGAAAAGGTTGCATTTTATGCTGAGGAGAGGAAGGTACAGTGTTTATTATAGTATTTTGCAATATTGTTTGTTGCAATAGTGTGGCATTCCAGAGACAAGAGTTTGTGATGTCACCGATGTAGGTTGCTCTGTCCTGAAGTTGTGGGTGTACCCTTGAACTCAACGTCATTTTCAGACAGGAAAGATAAATGTTGCTCTTTTTCATATTTGATTTATATGCCACCTGTCATCTGGATATCTAAATTACTCACTCACAATAGGAGTTTCCAGTGCATTCTGCAGTTGATTTAACCCTCCCTCGGTCTTTGCCTCCAGGTCCCAACAGTTTTCCAGCTGACGGGCCCCTGATTTTCACCGAATTGTACCAACGCTTTTTGTGTTTGCAGCCTTAAAGACTGTGCCCAGGAGCACCCTGGCATTTCTGACCTGGTGGAAAGGTTTGTCAGCCTCGTTAAAGGCCTCCTGGAGAAGCTGCTGGACTACAGGACCGTGATGAACGACGAGAGCAAGGACAACCGCATGAGCTGCACCGTGAACCTGCTGGTATGTGCCCCTCTGGGGTCCCCATGTGAGCTGAGGGAAAGGGTCACAGTCCATTTACCAAAAGCAAAGGTTAAATCTTCCTGGCTACAGCACTGGGTGACAACACTCAGTGGGGATATAAATTCTGAAGTAAGAGGTTTTGTATCTATTTGCATGGATGTATCAGTAAGTCTGAAAGCAACACCCCCTCAGCTCCTTTGGCTTTGCCCCTGTGTTTTATCCAGTTTGGTTCTGTTGGGTGAATAAAGAATTTTGCTGCTCACATGCCTGTACTTTTTGATAGGCTTAGCCTGCCAGTGGGCTTTGGCCAGGTTCAAGCTGGGCTTGAGGAACTTAACCCGCTTGCAGCTTCAGCAACTCAACAGCTACAGTTTTTAAACGTGGGGAAGAAACCCTGGGACACTTGCAGTGAGATGCTGAGAAGATCTGAGTCTCTGATCTGGTCCTGTGGTTTTTTCCATTCCTCTTTTGTAATGAGGATATGTCATACAGAGATTGCTCCCCCCAGGGAACTCCTCAAAGCTGAGGAGGAAGCTCCATCACCTTTGAAGTGTTGCACTCACATACTCTCTGTTCCTCAGCAATCTCTGCTCAGTGTGGTGTAAATTCCTGCAACTCTTCAGGAGATAATTCTGGTCATACATTTTGCACAGCCTTAGCAACTTAGTACACCTGCAAACACGTTATGGTGACAAAAAATGGGCTTTATTCAGGGAATTGGCCCCTTTAGAGGTACTGCACAACAATGCCATGTATTTAGAGAGCTGCATATCTGCTTCAGTACATACCAGCTTTTCTGGCCATCATGTTCTGCCAGAGCCTGTGGTTTGTTATGTTAATGCATTTGGATAAGTATATTTTCCTCTTCTCCTACAGAAAAACTTTCACTAATATTTCATTAAAGAACTAGGAGAAGTACACATATGTATGTATAATAACACATGCATATAACTAATTAAAATATTAATTGAAGTAGTAGTTCCAGGTTTAAAATTCACATAGTCTGTAAATAATCTATTTCTTAGGCTGTGCAATGAGCAAGAAAAGCAAAGTCCCAGCATGTCTCATTTATATCTATATTTGTCTTGTGTTTTATTAAAATACATTAGGAGATAACTTAAATTTTTGTGTCCCTAGAATTTCTACAAGGACATCAACCGTGAAGAGATGTACATCAGGTATGACAGCTGTTCTCTTAGATCTCTTCTGGAGAAGGCAACAATATTGTCTTGTGAATTCTGGTTTTATTGCTGTGCTTGAATTTCTGTGCTTAATATTAGTATACCATCCACAGTGACTCAGTGGTAACCCTGGCCTCATCTGTATTCTCACTGCACTGTTTGTTTAGCCTCCAGCAATTTGGAATCCATGATGTGTATTCAGCAGCAGCATTTTTTTCCCTATCTTCTAGTTGATCAAATCACTCAACGTTCGTTGTTTATTGTTTAAAATTAAGAAAATGCAGCCAGATTTGAGGTTTGAGGGAGGGTGTACCCTGCATTTAGAATGGCAGAGAAAGCATTCAGGTTTTGTAGAATAACCCAGTCTCTTCCAATATGCAGCCCTACACACAGCAGGGTTACTGGTGAGGCATTTTCTGGGAGAGCTAAAGCTACACTGGCAATTCTTTCAGATGTGATTTGGCCTCTCACTGTCTCCAAGAGTTTTGCATATGAGCTGCAGCAGATCTTGTTGTTTCAGAGCTCCTTATTTCCTGCCTCTGCTCTCCTTCTGCAAAATGTGCAGAGCAAAGCCCAGCATCCCAAAAATGAGGTGATTCAGAGCTAAACCTTGAGCCGTGAGCCAGAGTGGCTGTGGGGAACAACCTTCCCTCTGTGGGCATTGCTGAGGGGGAAACATTTTCTGCTGGGATGACAGCTGGGAATGGGAATGCCCTGAACTGCTGCAACAAGGTGTTGGAGCTCCTGTGTCCCAAAACACAGAGGATGGGACGCACTTTTCCCTTCTGGCTGCTGGAGATGTGGGCAGTGGTTGTGCTGGCAATGCCACCCTGGGGATCAGGGAGAACACTGGTAATGTTTAGCTTAGAACAACTCTCCTCCCTCTACCACTTTGCAAGTTGTACAGGGACTGGCTCTGTCTCTCTGGGCTGGTATTTTCCATTTTCTCCTTTACCCTGTGTTACCTACTGTGGTTTCATCTGTACAACATGGAAAGTGTGTGGGAAATGCTCCAGAGAAAGGCAACTGTCTTAACAGTCCAGGAATAGTGGACTCAGAGCTCTTAGACCTTGAGTCTGACAGTTCTTCCTCTTCAAGGTGGAGCTGACAGCAGCTCACAGAAGGAGCGTGGCTCTTTCTCCTCCCTTTGTGCCCAAAGTTTGTGTACAAAAGAGCACAGAAAAGCCTGAACAAATGCATAGAGTTTTAACCTCCCTCAGTGTCCTTGAAGTCTCTTTGGGGAGTGGCTGTGGGACATCTGTGGAGTTTGCTCTTATCTGGAACATTTTGGCACTCAGGATTCCAGTCATGCCGACACTCAGCCTAATTCTCGCTCTCTCCTCTCTCAGGTATTTGTATAAATTGCGAGATCTTCATTTAGATTGTGAGAATTACACGGAAGCAGCATATACCCTTCTGCTCCATACGTGGCTCTTGAAGGTTAGATCTCCTGAACTCAATATATAGTTAAGCTTTCACAGTTTTCAAATTTATATATTAAAGTGACTACCTTAATCTTCCTTATTTTTCATTGGGGTATTCAAGTTTCTACTTAAAAATACTGCAGTAGGTCATGCAAAATTAATATTAATTATTGACATATTTTCAATAGGTTGTTAAGAGCCATATATTTCTAGAGCTAAATATTGTAGCAAGAATATTTTTTTCTTTACAGTGAGAACATTTTGTGGTTTTCATTTTTCTCCTTTCTTACTAACCTAAACATAACAGTTATGACAAATAAAAACAGCTTGTTCCAGCTGTCACAGGGGGGCATCTAACTTTTAATTTTAAAGAATATGGGTCACACTATCAAGTTATGTTGGCTTTCTTTCATAGCTGGTAATTGCCTTTCACCACAACTAATGTTTGTTCTCATTGTAACTGACATTATGAATAGAAATGGTCAGTAAGATGCATTTCCATTACAAGGGAACATTCCAAATTTAAATTTCTTCAGCAAAAATCTGACACTTTTTGTAGTGCAGAACCATATAAACTCGGCTTTCCACAGTGCTTCTTTGCTTAAACTTCATTTTGATTTTTCTTCTGACTGTAGAAATGCATGAGGTATGTCGTATGTGTTGGCGTAAACAAAGATTTTAGTATGAGAAATATTTTAATACAAAAAATCAAAACCAAGTCAGTGAAGATGACACCACTAAAATAGAATTCAGTAATTTTGTCACATGGATTTTTATCTTAATATTTTTGGGGGAGGTGGCAGGGGGAAGGAAGGAACACAGCTTTTAAAATGTTCTGTCTAGTCCTGGTTGTCCCATGAAATACAGCACTTGTCTGAAGAGGTAGTGAATACATTCCTAGTGTCTTTCCCAGTTTCTCTGTGGATGGTTAAAGGAAGAAAACACTTAGAAGAGCCCAGGGAACCAGAGCTGGTGGGAGGTTGAAAGGCTGAACTCCAAAATCATGGGGTTTTTGATGTGTTCCTGTTCCCAGTGGTCAGATGAACAGTGTGCACCCCAAGTCATGTCAACGGAGTTCCAGTGCTCGCAGACCTATCGACACTTGAAAGAGAATTTATATGAAAAGATCATAGAGTACTTTGACAAAGGAAAGGTAGGTCTGCAGAGTTCCTCCCCTGCCAAATCCCTCTTTGCTGTGCTACTCTGGATAGTCCTGCTGAATGAACGTGCCCTGCTGAAAGTGTTTGTGTAGAAAAGCTTCTCTGAAATGTGGGTCAAGTAAAAACTGTGTCCTGAAGGCTTATTCCCAGAGAATATCTGTTCCCATAGGAACATGTTCTTTCAATAACCACATCCACAAAGAAAGGGGGTTAATGTTTCAACACATTGTCACAAGTGTTTTTGCCAGGCACTAATAAAATGCAGTAAAAAATGTTGAATGTACTCGCCTTTACCAGGAAAAGAATATGGACTACACAGGTTCTGTTTCTAGACCATTCAGTGCTTATCTCCAAGAAAACCAGACAGTTCAAAATGGACATATTTGTTTCAGAGAAAACTAAGGGTTATATCCCAAACCTAAAATGGAGTAGTCTGATGTTCAGTACCTTGGTTTAGTTCAACTTTAAAAAAAACCCCAACTGTTAATAAAATTACCTGTCAGTACAGGTACAGTAGAGCTGGCATTTTTGGAAATAAAGCAAAGAAAGCAAGCAGAGAAAAATTCTGCAGTGCTGGATAATTAATCTCATGACCCAATAAGACCTTTAAGTCATTATGTCTTGTTCAGCTGTAGCCAAAGGTACGAAGAGGGAAGGCAATACTTTAGTGCTTCTTGAAGCCCTTCCTACAATTCAGAAGGCAGAAATTTTTGGTGCTTCGAGGTTTTTTGTTGGTATCTGAAGCAACTACAGTGTAGCAGTGCCCATCCTCTGTACCAGGAAAACCAAATCCTCCTGATTTCTGTCTACAGCACCCAACATTCAGGTTTTCCTCAGAGGAGCTTTGCAGCAGCTGAACCCACCTGCCAGGTTCAGAAATACCTGGCCTAGGAGCACGTGGCACGATTTGAAATCAGGCCTGATGTGTGTGACCACCGATGTCCTTAATCAGCAGAGAGCTGTGCTCAGAAACCCCTTTGTCTCCTTTATTCTGAGTGGGTGAGAAGCCTGAGAGAGCTTGAGAAGTATCCTCAAGAGAGGGAGTTCGTAGCTGCTTTAGGACCACTTTTGGTTGCTGCTTGTATGAAGTGCCCCCATCAGCTGAGAAAAGCTGTCCTGGTGTCTCCAGTGCAGCCCTGCAGCTCCTCACAGTCATCGTCAGCCCTTCTACTGTGTGGAAAGAAAGAAGCTGCAGCTCTGGGCAAGTGGCAATTTAAGAATTAGTTTTTATCTGACTTTTCATATGCAAGGTACCTGCAGCTGTGGATGCTGCAGGGTGTTGTACAAAATGGTGTTTTAAGGAGTGGCAGGTGTCAGTCCCCTCACCTCTGTGCTTGGGGTGTGTTCTGGGTGTTATCACCTGACTGATTTACTCTCCTTAATGTATCTGATTCTTATTCTAAGAATAAAGTAGGTTTACTTATTCCTTCCTGTAATGAATCATAAAACACTTTTATTTTTTCACATTAATCTGCTTTCCTAAAGTTTATGATTGCCTCGAGTCTTCCACTCTAAATGTGCAGTTAATAAATGACTGCACTTTAAAGAGAGCATAATCAATAAAAGTGTAGTTAAACTGTGATGCATTAAAAACTTGTTTGTTGGTGCTGGATTTACATTTTGAATGTGTGGTTGCATTGCAGATGTGGGAAGAAGCCATATCTTTGTGCAAAGAGCTTGCAGAGCAATATGAAAAGGAAGTTTTCGACTATGAGCTTCTAAGTCAAAACCTGGTAAGATTATATAGAGGCCTTCAAATTAATTCAGTCACAGAATTCAGTATTTCTGAGCTATCCAATGACAGCTATCAAAAGCCTATGAGCTTGTTGTCTACAACACATTTTTAATCCATTTGTTGAGGAGTTGCTGTTTCACTGTAACAGTCCAGTGCTAAAATAGTGAACAGCAAAGACCTGTTGATTAAAGTTGCATGGAAATCTGTTTAGTGAGGCATTTTGAAATTTCTGTAGATTAAAAGAACACTCAGGGCAATTTAAAGGCCATGTTTGAAAGAAATACAAAAAGATTTGGAGGCCTCTGTACTGCTTTAAGGTAGAAAAAACACCTAGATAAATTTTTCCCCTAAATTTTCCTTTAAATTTTAGCAACTTGAATCTTGACAAGCCTGAAGAATTCAGTCCTAATCAGGACTTGGAAAGTATCACAGGACAAGGAATTAGAACTAGGTCCAAAGGCTAGAAGTCAGATTTTGAAGGAAGATAAAAATGTTCAGTTATTTGATTTCATTAAAATTGAATTGATCTAAAAAGAATCCTGTCCCCTCACATGCCTTCTTTTTCCTGCTCCCAATATTCCACACTTGCATGATTTTCAACAAATGTTCAGGGTTCATACAATAGATATCCCTGAATCTTCCACAAAGAAACCGTGGGAATCCAAACATGATGTTCCTGAGCAGTGCTGTTTATAAAGAAAGCTTCTTTTGCTCCCAATAAATTCTGCTTTTGTCACAAAATAAAAGGCATTGATTTTGCCAGTTCCATTTGAGCTGCAGTGCTGCATTCTCATGAACATAACACCGAAATGGCACTTGGTATTTTATGGTAGAAATCGTTCTAAGCTCTTTCCATGCTGTGTGCCCTTCACAGGAGGCTTGGGCAAGAATTTGGGTTGAGCCAAACCTCGGGAAATATTTGAGGCAAGAGGTTTTTCCAAATGTAGTGTTTCAGTAATGTTATCAGTGGCCAAGTGTGACTTTGGTGTTTGTTTTTGCTTTTCATGCTACTAAATTAAGGATAAGCCTGAGATTCAAATATTAAAGTTGAAGCCATGCACATTTATCTGCATTTTATATTTACATATAAATGTAAACAATATTTAATGTCCCTCAGCAGTGGCCTGTGTGTGCTGACTATGGCTGTAGTTTATCAACTGATAATTGCTGTGGAGGTTAAAAATTAATAGATAACCCCCTCCCCAAAAAAGTGATTACAGTTGGTTTTGCTTTCAGATTCAGCAAGCAAAGTTCTATGAAAACATCATGAAAATTCTGAGACCCAAACCAGACTATTTTGCTGTTGGGTATTATGGCCAAGGATTCCCCACATTTCTACGGGTAAACTTGTTTAAATTCCTACTTTTTTTCACCTATTTTCATATGCTTCTAAACATGCAAGTGCACTCTACTAATGCAAGTGAGTCTCTGGAGATGTTTTCCATGGATTTCCTGTTGCTTGGATGCAGGACTGTGAATCTGAATTGCTACTTGTAAGAATATGCATGAAATGTTTTCAGATGCTTTTATGTTGATTCTTTCTTAGTTTGACAGTGAAAACTAAAGATATATGATGTGGTGAAGGTGATATATGAGAGCTAAATGCTATTTGGTATGGGCACATATTTCTCAGATGAGTCCCCACACGGGTGTTGATAAGTAGTAGAATGTCATTAACATGTGTTCAAATTAAATCCAAATCTCACTTTCTCTCAGGGCTGGTATTTTTAGTGCACCTCACCATGAACTGACAGGAGTTTCAGCTTTATGTTGCCTCTCAGCTGCAATGGGAATATCTGCAACATTCTGGTTCTCTCCCCATCCAGTTCTAGTTCCTGAGCTGGCAGGACAAGAAGCACGTGTAGGATTCGAAATGTGAATATCCTGTGACTTTGTTCAGTGTGATACTCATGTTTCTTCCTTCATTTTCCTGTTTTCCTCATGACAACTGATGCTAACGCTGCTTTTTTGCTCTCAAACATGCACTGAGCTGACATCTTCATACCAACTCTCTTCTACTGCTCTAAGTTTTCCTGAATGGCAACAGCTTGTTTCTATCCTAGGACAGTTATGGTAAGTTTGAACTGGTTTTATTCAACATGTGCTGAATCTACTCTGTTTTCCTTACTTTCCTCCATTTTTGACTACCATGAGGGAAATCAGGACTCCAAAGGGTCTGTGTTTGCAAGAAACCTGTAGTTCACAACTGGAATTTATTTAGTTTTTTAGGTCATTGCTTTGTTTAAATCACAGTAGTGCGTGAGCTCAGAGCATAAAACTAACCTGAATATTTGATGTTTTCTTGTTAAAAAAATAAGTCTCACACAGAACAATGAGTAGGGTAACTTTCTTCACACTTGAAAAGCAACAAGAGACCCTGCTGTCCCAGGTTTAAAAGCCAAAGCTGCCTCGGAAACGTTGGAAAAAAACAGAGAAATATGTTAGTATTACACCAGTGTTACTGTTTTCTGAGTAATAAAATTTTGAGACCAGGGTCTCTGGAGAGTCAGTGCTGCATTCCAGCACCTGGTCAAAGTGCTGTTTGGCTTGGTGGTTGATTCATATTCAGAAGACAGCAACACTCATTCCAAAATCTGGAGAGCATTGTGTGTTTGTGCTGATAACCATGAATCTCTAACTTCTGCCTCAGCATCCCAGAGCCCAAGAAATGAGCTCTTTCTTGCCTTGCAGAACAAAGTGTTCATCTATCGTGGGAAGGAATATGAGAGGAGGGAGGATTTCCAGGCACAGCTGATGAGCCAGTTCCCCAGCGCAGAGGAGATGAACACCACGGCAGCTCCCGGGGAGGATGTGAAAAACTCTCCTGGGCAATGTATCCTTGAAAACAGAATGAAAGGGGGCTTGGAGAAACCTTGTTTTGAGCATAAATTTATCTGTGTGAAAAAATAATTGCCTAAAAAGGGTGGAAGTGTATTAATGTGGTAGCTCTGTTTGCTGTTTTACTTACATGTCCTTAATGTCTTGTGGCTCATTCCTAAGATGTCAGCCCTTGTTTTTCCTCACAGTTCTAAGGAGTCTGTCTCTTCCATTCATCAGAGAATCATTTAGGCTGGAAAAAACCCTAAAGATTGACTGCAGCCATAAACCTTGTTTGCCACTACCCCATGTCCCCAAGTGCCACGTCTGCAAGCCTTTTTAAATCCCTCCAGGGATGGTGACTCAACCACTGCCCTGGGCAGCCTGTGCCAGGACTTGACAACCCTTTCAGGGAAGAAAAATCGCTGAAGTTCATGTATGGTTTACCTTCTATTTTCTTCAAATGGCAAAACCAGTGACACACACTTGAACTGGCCAAGTTTAAAGCAGCAACTTCTCTCTTACCTCACGTTCTCAGCTGTTGTCCCTTGGTATGAAATTCATGTGTTCCTTGAACATTGCCCTGACTGGAACCACACTTGAGTACTCCCTGTATTTCCTGGCAATGTAAATAGGCCTTAAGTCACTCTTGGAAATTTTCCTGGGAAAATTGACTCGTAAACTTGGTTAACCAGCTTTTAGAATGCCCTAAATTATTCCTGTTTACAAGAGCTCTGATCCTCTTCTTTGTTTCTAATTTAAATCATTACAGACTGAGCAGATATGAGATCACCTCTTTGTATCAGACATTTGTTTTCACATGTAGATTTTCCTTTATTAATTTCCAAGGCCATGTTGTAACGCTTCACCTGTTCTTTTCCATCTATTTTGGTGGAACCTTCTGGAACAGGAAGGGAATATTGCTCTTTCAACACTGTTGGGAGTGAAGTGGGAGTGTTACAGGTTTGTCTAAAATAGTACATTAAGCTTGAAAGCCAAGCTCTCCTGAGACTGTCTTGTGTCTTAACTAATTGATTGGTTTTTGGGATCACATGTTTCAGTCCTTGAGGTGGAATTTGCTCCTCTAATTGCAATGAACAGCAGATACAAGCTGGTTCTGCACTTAAGAAAAAGCTACAGAACCTACCCTGAAGGCATGAGTCAACTATACTGAAATATGTAAGAATGAGGTATATTTACTTACAAATACAGTAGTCAGATTTGAAAAATTGCACTTCCCTAGGAAAAGGAAATCTCAAATAAAAGGGCTGTTCCACTACAGGTTTCAAAGATGAAATGTTAACCATCACGACTTTATGCAAGCCTAGAGCTAAACAGTGAAACTGTTAACATCACATGTTGTTGATGTTATTTTTGTAAGTTGGTTGGGCTTTAAAATTTAATGAATGAGTCAGTGTGATAAATTCAGCTGCAGATATTCAAGCTCAGTAAATAATAAAAATATGCAGTTCAAAATTAATATTAATACATATTCACTGGCTACTACTGACAGATTTTTCCTTTTTTGGCCAAGGAACTCCACAAACAAAACCCTGAACACTGCAGATTTTTCATCAGGAAATGTCTTTTCTATTATTATTATTATTTTTATTTCCCCTGCAGCCTGCAGTATTTCAACTGATGGTTAATAACATGCCCTTAACTTCCACAATTTCAGATATCCAGTGTTTTACAGTGCAGCCAGTCCTGGAGGAGCAGCCCAGATTCAAAAATAAGGCAGTACCTGATCAAATTATAAAGTAAGTGGATTTCTGTAATAGATGTGTAATGAAAGTCAGCCCATATTCCTAAACTCACAACCATTGTTTTGCCAATGAATCTTGGAGCTTTTATTGCCTTAATTTGCTGAGTTATGTATTCATAGAATCATTTATGTGGGAAGGGACTTTTAGAGGCCATTTAGTCCAACTCCCCTGCAATGAGCAGGGACATCTTCAACTAGACCAGGCTGCTCAGGGCTCTGTCCAGTCTGTCCTAGGTATATTCCCAAGGAATTCCATGAAAGAACATCCACCCACCTACCACTGAAGAAACAACTTCTGGTTCCAGGGCAGGGAGGTGGAATCTGTGCTTTGAGTTGAAGTTAATGAGTTTTCAACACATCTGCTTGCACAAGTGATGGAGAGAGGATTCTTGGAGGTCACTGGCACTGAGAGTGCTTGAGTTGAAGGCTCTTGTACAACAGAACCTTGTCATGGCTTGTCTTGCCAAGTGCAAAATCCATGGTGGCAAAATGGTTTCCATTGGCACTGTGGTCAAGATTTTGTAAAGGAATAAAGGAAATGAATTGTCCAAAGTATTCTGAGCACAGACTGGCTGACAGCTGTATCCAAACCAGTTGTCACCTTTGTCTGCAGCCTTCTCTGCAGAATCTTTGCTGAAGTTGCAGCTGACTCAGAATGGAAAACCAAGAATCTCCTCCTCACATGCACCTAAGGAAAGGAGATACAAGCACAGGTCTTGCGCTTCAGGATTTAAAAACAAACATTTCCACCCCCCACCACCCCCAAAAAAACCCCCACCAAAACAAAACAAAGAAACAAACAAAAAATAAAACAACCCAAAAAACCCACAACAAACTGTGGTCCCAATTTCAACTTGATTATTTTTTCAATCAGTAACAGAAAGGCAGATTCTGAATGTGGTCCTGTTTGACTGGATTTCATGGTAGTGGCAGTCCCACTTTGAACTGTTTTGTGGCAGTTTTGTGTGGTGAAGTGCTCCACAGAAAGCAGAATCTCTGCCCAGATGGGAGATTTTGTAATGGTTTGTCTCAGCTGCAGAATTCAACCAAACTGCTGATTACATCTGCTCCTGGAGATTTACTTTTACGAGGGTACTTTATTGGCCATTTAATTGTTAGTTACATTATTTGATGGCAGTGCATTTATTCTATCAAAGAGCTTCAAAATATCAGTCCTTTCAGATGGAGCTGTGTGAAGTGACCTGGCTCAGTGTGGCAGCATTTTCCAGTCTCTTTCTTTACTGATCAGTATAATCTGAGCAGTTTGGATCACAAGCCATGGGTTCCTATGAACTAACACACCATGGTTTGCTTAGCTCAGCTGTTTGGGGCTTCTCTATTTGTTTTCTTCTCTGGGCTTCCAAAACATGGCTCATTTTTATTATAAGAGATTCCTGAGATTATTTTTTTTTTCCTCTGCAAAATTAGCTTTTACTTAAAATGGCTTTAAATTTAATTCATCTTTGAAACAAAAACCCAAAACCCAAAGGGAGAGATTTTTCTGGGGACAGCAAAATAGTCAGTCAAAACTCTGCAGTCCCTCTTCTTCCAAATTAGCCAGTGTTAAAAACCAAGTGGTTACCAGTTTAGTGAAAATATGTGTTCACAATGATGGAAAAAAACCAGCAGCTGAATAGAATTTATCATAACAGGACTTTGCAAGACATTCCTTACATTGGTGTCCCCCTCTACAATATACATGTTCTTACATATCACCCAAAAAATTGTTCTTAATGGCTTCATTTGTTTAATTGATTGAATAAACATTGTGCTGCATTGTGAGCAGGGGCATGATTAAACTGATTTGTTGTGATGTGGATGAAAAACACTTGTGATCCAGCCCAGGTGAAAACATCTGCACTGTTCAGTCAGTTATCTTGAACAAAATATGCTCCATGAAAAGCCAGCAAGCAGGGCCAGTGCTACAGCACGAGTTCAGCAGAGGAGAAATCTCTTCTACTCCTTCTTCTGTAGGTTTGAACATTAATCTGGAATTTCTGGAGGGGTTTTTACCTAGAAAATACACCCAGCCACAAGCTGAATCTTAATAATTGTAAAATACTGTGTGTTGACTGTGATTTATAGATAAAGTAGTTTCCTCCTGAGTTTCCAGTAAAGTACTTTTTTTCTGAGCAGTAAATTTGCTTTTAATTAAAAATTCAACTGACTCAAAATGAAATATTTCACTGCCATAACAAAATCCATCAATTTCCAGGTGCTGAATTTTACAAAAGTGTTTTTTAAACCTTTCAGTTTTTACAAATCCAACAATGTGCAGCGGTTCCACTACTCAAGGCCAGTCAGAAAAGGATCTGTTGACCCTGAAAATGAATTTGCTGTAAGTAAATTAATGACAAGGTGATGGATGTAGTTCTGCTAACTGTGAATTTTGATCCTAGGTCCTTCTTTAGGCCCAGATTGTGCATTAGAGACACTCTGAATTTAGGATCTGGTTCATAAAAACAAATGCAAGACTCTTCATTTCAGCATAACTCCTGAGTACTTAATGACACACCACTTCTTCAATTGCAGATAAACGTTCTGTACTTAAGCACATTCCAGGTGTTTGTGTTAAGCAGTAACATCTTCTGGTACAGATTTTCATTGTGAAACGAGGTGACATGTAAATAAATATCAACTGCTTTGCTGCTTTTAGTTTACAACACTTTTATCAGCTGCCAGCTTGGCAATGAGGTGTGTGCTGTCTGCTTTCATCAGTCCTGTGAGATCCTGACAGCCCAGAGAACTGCCTGTCTCGTTTTTCCTGCCCTGCCTAATGGTGCAATGCTGAGGAATAGTTCAAATATTCTGAGGAATCTACACCATCATAAATTACTTTTCAGTGTCGTGCATAAAAATGTGGGAAGTGTCTATATTTTCATTTTACAGCTATCTGATATTTTACAGTTTGTTCTGAAAAGCCACCCAACCTTCATGGCTAAAGCTGTGCTCGTGTCATCCTGATGGGAAAAGCCACATCTTTCCAAAATGTACAATATCAGTTGTGTGTGTGCTGATTAGCAGTGTCAAATTTTCCATGTAAAGGGGCTTCTTACCTGCTGTTAAATTAAGGTTTCAGATGCACATTCTACCCTGGCACCCCAGAATTGCTCTGTGTTATCAAGACTCTTGATGCACAGTGGCCTCCTTTGCCAGCTAGAGAGTTTGGAACCTATTTATGAATATACCTTGAAATGGTTTTACAAAAATTAGATCATTGATGTTTTCATTGCTGATGACAACAGACAACATGCAGGTGGAAATTGGGATGTTTGGAGGATGCCATTATTGCATTTGTTGTGTTTCTCAGTACTGGCAGCTGAGCTGAACTGAGATTGCAAAATAAGAAGCAGTAAATGAACTAAACTGTTTTAAAATAACAACAGCCACTCTCGTTCAGAAAAGGAAAATGAAAGGAACTAAGAAAGTCAGAATGCTGGCAAAGTTGTTATTGGGCTATTACTGCTTTTACTTGTAGAAATAATTGGGCTATTACTGCTTTTAATTGCAGAAATACCTTCTGAACATTCAGGAAGGATAGTCTAGGTAGAGGCAGGAGCAGATCATTTAGTCCCAGTCATTCCATCTGTAATGGCAAAAATAGCAATAGACACTAAAATATTCAAGGGTAATTTTCTTTTTCCTCTGCTTCGTGCAGGCTTTGTGCCTGAAGATGACCTAATCTGAAATCAGAAGAATTATTGGTGCCAGTTGCTGTGCTAGATTAATGTTGCAGTGCCTTTTTATGCAAAAATATGCACGTGTTTTCCATCTACAGCCATTTCACTCAGGCATCTCAGAAGGCAGGAAAGATTAAAGCTGGAATCCTGACGAGTGATTTTTCTCCCACTGTTGTTTTTTTCGTAGTCCATGTGGATTGAGAGAACTTCATTTGTCACGGCTTACAAACTGCCCGGAATTCTGCGCTGGTTCGAGGTGGTCTCCACGACACTGGTGTGTATCAACACGTATTAACATGCCAAGAGCCCAGAAAACACCTGTCTGTTGAGTCCTCGTGTATTAAATTCTTAGCAAAATGATCACACATGGCTATTTTTACTTATACAAACAACACTGTTATTACCTATGTTTTATCTTTCTGCTGTCAGGATCAATAATATATCCCGGGTCTGAGAAAATTGAACAAGTCTGCGTTGGTTTGCTGAATTGTTGTTCACATACATGGAGTTTTATAAAACCCAAAGGACCTTTTTATCTCTGTAGGAACCTTAGAAGCCTTTTGTTTCTTTCCAGACCGTAATTAGTCCTTTAGAGAACGCTATTGAGACCATGTCCACGACCAATGAAAAAATTCTGATGATGATTAACCAGTACCAGAGTGATGAGAACCTTCCCATCAATCCACTTTCCATGCTTCTGAATGGAATTGTAGATCCAGCTGTTATGGGGGGCTTTGCTAAATATGAGAAGGTAAGAGCTTCGAAGTCGATGCAAGGAATATATTCCGATACATCATTTCATAATTCTCCTGCATCTTGAGTTTATGGTGGCAGTGCAGTATGGATGGGGAATATGAAAGCCATAATTAATTAGTCAATCCATCAATCAAGAAATCCTCTTATCCTTATTTCCTGGTCACCTCTGTCTTTGAAAGCAAACCAGGGTGACTGAAGCTCAGTATTAGCTGATATAAACCATGATGCTCCAAACCTGTGCCTTTTTAGTTTCACTGCAAGCTTAATAAAAGAAACAGTAATTGGGTTTCATAATAAGAGTTTCAAACTCAGAAATGTTAGATAAAGACTGAAAACATGTTCACAGAAGAGCACCTCAGCTCCCAGCTGACAGAGTGAGGAATTAGCAGCAGCAGCATCTGGCCGAAGAGCATGGCTGTGTCTCTCTTATTTGATGGCCAATGTTATGATCACCAGCTGGGCTCAATGATTGACTCTCATTTCTTTACCTGTCAAAATGATGGACTGAATTATATTTTTTGTTGTTGTTGTTTTGTCTAAGGCTTTCTTTACAGAAGAATATGCCAGAGACCATCCAGAGGATCAAGAAAAGCTGAATAGACTCAAAGACCTGATTGCTTGGCAGGTAACTTCTCCCTGACAGCAGCCACTGAGGCCTCATCAGCTATTCCTTTGTCCCATTCCTTTCCAGCAGGAGAACACAGCATTTATATCCATTTTCACTTTCATTTTTTCCCGGTTTCCCAAAGCAGGGAGGGGTAGAAGAAAGAGAAAATTCTTGTTACAAACTTCCTGCCTGGTTCTGGGAAAGCATTAGGCCAGAAAGGTGCTTTGTAGAGCACATCCTTTGGAATGGTTTATCATTGAAAGCCTAAATGTATGCATTTACGGTTAAAAGGGCCAGGATTGCAAACTCAGGTTGTATTCCTGGAGACAAAAGGGAGAGCGTGACCAAAGTCACAACAGTGTCATGAATTGCTGGGAAAACAAGCACTGGCAAATGTCAGAAACTCTCTTGGGAGACAACTCTTTTCTAGAACTGAGTATGTGTTGCTGTTTGTGGCAGGGTTTTTTGCATTAGAAACCTTAATGGAGTGTTAGCTGTTCCCAGGAATTCTTTTCATGCTCAGTGACTCTCCAAGGTTGCTGCTACAAGTCTTTTGTGTGACAAATAGCATGGAAGGCCATTAGTAAATATTTTTAAGCCTCATCTCCAGAGGAGAACTGGATATTCTGCCCGTATAGCAGCACTGAGGTTATTTGGGTTTACTATTTATGATTTTATAGATAGTGTAGACACGATAAGACAACCAGCCCTTTTTGTCTTCAATGCACCTATGGGAGGTGGTAGCAGAAAAACCTCTGGTTTTTGCTGAGATTCAAGGGAAAATTACTCTTTTCATTGACCTACATTTGTTATGATAATGGAGCAGATAAAAACATGACCTCAGAAATTATCAGTTCTATTTCAATTATCTAATCCCAAATAGATTTCATTGCTATCAATATATGGCAAAATGAATGACTGTGAGAGAACAGGTTTACATTTTGACCCAGAGGTAGTTTGTTAGGAAGCCACAAACTGCTGAGTCCTGTGAAATATGGATGATTTCCATGAGAAAGAACTGTTTGCTGTATAAATGAATGGGCCTGGGGGGATGTTAACAAATAGTGAGGGTTCACCTGGAATTTTACTATCAGAAATAAATGGCTCAAGATATTTCCAAGCTCCCTGATCTAGTTGAAGATGTCCCTTGCTCCTTGCAGGGAGTTGGACTAGATGGCCTTTCAAGGACACTTCCAACACCAAACTGTTCAGTGATTCTATGGTTCTGCTTCACAGATGAAAACCAGCAAAACTTAACCATTTATTCCTCTCTCAGCTTGGAAATGAACCTTCCAAATAACTTTAATGGACTTGTTTTGCACTATTTTCTGAAGGTTTTTCAAGGTTCCTCCTGTTTCATTGTTACTCCTCTCAGCTTGGTTATTAGTTTAAGTTGCCAACCTTCACAGCTTTCTGCTGGGTCCTTGCCCACCCAAGGCTCTGTGTGTTGCTGCTTTCTGACCATCAGAAGTACTCAGTGGATTAGTGGTATAGATTGACTGTAATACCAGCTGCCATTAGGAAATAAAGTGGTCATTTCTATCTTTCCCTGTAAATCCCTCTAAAGGGGTCAAACAGGTCTCTCTGTAATAGATGGGCTTTAATACCATGTTTTTAGAGGTTATATTGAAATTGAACTTCCATAAAATGCAATCAAGCCAAGGGATGGACCAGTGTATACAATGCTCATAGTATTTGTGGGGTCAGAACACAGAAAGGAACCGTGAAATCCAAGTGGATTTTAAAAGAAAGCCCAGATGTTGTTGCAAGATAACTAAGTTAATAGTAAAACAGTTAGAAAAGGTCAGTGGCAGAAGGGTGGCTAAAAGTACTTTGCACACATCTCATAAGTCATCATCTTCAAAGGCTGAAAGGTAACAAAACTTCACAAAGTTTTGCTTTTGGAACACGATTAATATTAATAAAACAGCATGTCAAAGTCTGCTGGCCATTATCTTTGAAGAGGAGATTTGGGTTGGTTTTAACTGGGTATAACTGCACTACCACTATAGCTGAAATGACGGTAGCAATATAGCAGCCAAGGAAAAGGGGTTAGAAAATTTATTTACTCTTTATTCTGCTAGGCAAACCTTTGCTTCTGACAAAGGAGAATGATTTTTTAACAAAATTCCAGTGTGTTTAATCCCACATGAGATTAATATCAAAACACACAGAGGAGAGGAAACAGTCACTGTGGGGCAGCCAACATTTTACAGAGATTTACTGAACAAACCCATTTTCCATGAGCCCTTTCCATGCTGTAGCTGTTGCTCAACAGACAAATCCACGTGCCAGCCACAGGAAAAGTTTTGCAGCTGACTTAGCAGGTATTTTAAATGGAGCCAGGGAGGTTGTTGGACCCACTTTAATAGTCTCACTTTTATTCTTTTTGTTTTGCTTTGTTTTCTCTTAAGATACCTTTCCTTGGGGCTGGAATTAAAATCCATGAAAGAAGAGTTTCTGACAAGCTTCGTCCTTTCCATGACCGGATGGAGGAATGTTTCAAGCATCTCAAAGTCAAAGTGGAAAAACAATATGGAACCAGAGAGCTGGTACTGCTTTCCTTTTAGCCTCCACCTCAATTTCTCTTTATTTAATACACATATTGTTCTAAAAAAAAGATACTTTTTTTTTTTTTTTAATTTTGCTTGTGGACTGAAGGCAGCAGGACCTGAGTTTTGTAGCCCAAGATTTAATTAAACTCTCTGGGCACTTCAAATATTCCTCATTCTGGAAGGTTTTGAGTGTTTTATTATGAGTATTAAAATTGCAAGCCTTTTCAGCCTTATTAAGGAAGTAAAAGCAAATTCTCGTGTCTGTTCTCTTGGTAACTTTTCTTAGTGGTTTAGGGCTTTGATGTGCAATTGATGTCTCCCTGTGCCAGCCACTTCCAGCTGTGTTGTGAAGTAAAACCTGTCATGGGTATAATACCATAAATATTAGTTGAGACCAAACTGAAATATCTGAGAATTGAAGGATAACTTCTGAGCACAAACCCCCCAGACAATTCTTGAATAAAATAGTCTATCTGTGCTTGTGCAGCCTGGCAGGGACGATGTTGCCCAGGTTTTGTGATTAAACACCGGTTTCTTTGGAATTTATTTTGTGTTGCTACTTTCAGCATTGATAATTTTATAACAGGATTTATTTCTTCTGTTATGGGGAAGGGGGGGTGAAATAACAAGTTTCTAACCTAAATATTGTGCTTGTTATACACCTGTATGATGAAAATTCTCTATATTTATCTCAGTCTGATTTTTGTTTTCACTCCCATGCCCCATCCTTGCAAAAATTCACACTTAGCAATATTCCCTCATGCTTGGACCTCTTCAGCACTTAAAAAAAACACAAACAACAAAACAAACCCCAATTCAAATATTTCAAATAGAAATTTTGCAGAGAATGTTGTCTGTGCATTGAGCTTGGGAGGTCTGAGGAGTAAAAATGCACCCAGGCAGAAGACACAGTCACAGCAATTCATGGCAGTAAATAATCTCTCCCATGCCAAGTGTTAAAACACATGTAGGATATTCCAGACCTGCAGCCAAGGGGTGAAATGAAGTTCACACAAAGTTGTTTGACACCATGTGTTTCTCTTTTCCATCCTGCAGCCAGATTTTGATGACAAGAGAGTGGGAAGGCCGAGGTCAATGCTGAGATCCTACCGTCAGTTGTCCATTATTTCACTGGCTTCCATGAATTCAGAGTGCAGCACTCCCAAAAAACTTGCTTCAGAAAGGTTGGTTATGACTGCAATGCTATTTTTTTTTTCCCCAGTCCTGCCTTATGAGTTTTATGGGATGAAACTAAAAGAATTTTTAAAAAGGCATTAAAGGATAAAGACCACCAGAAGTCTTTTCAGACTGTGCCAGAATTATTTAACTGTAGCTCTCAGTTATTCCAAGCTGAAAGCTACACTGTTTCAACCTTAATACACAAAATATACTCAACTCTCACTGAAGAAAAAAAAAAAAGGGCATTTCATTTTCAGAAAACAAGTATTTTAAAAATTAAAGTACCTTACACAAATTTACAAGGATCGGGGGTTTTATTGCAAGTTTCTCTTTATACAGCTTTTAACTTAATTACCATCTTTTTGTCTGTAAAATGTGAAGGGAAGGAGAACAACCTTTAAAAACTTGGCCTTTTAGTAAAGCCTGTAGTAATGTAAAATGCTCTGCCTAATCTGCTTTGACTGCAGCACTGGGAAACAGAGACTTTTAAATCTGAGAGAAACAGTTACAGGGGTATTGATCAGCTTTGTCATCCACAGCTTGGCTCACTTTATAAATTATTTTTTGAGCACATAGAACTTCTTCCCAAACAAGGTACATATAAAACTGATCTTGTTGAGCAATTTTTGATTATGATTTTTTTTTTATTTAGTTTTTTTAAACATCTGATCTCCCTTTTTGGGCAGTTCACCTGTTACAAGCCCAGTGGTGTGTGAGCTTAACGTGGAAGTGTTTTTTTCTTAAGGCACCCCTCTGCTCTTGCATGTTTGACCAGTTCATTTTTTACCATTTTTTACACACTGAGATGCTCAGGCTGCTCTTCCAACCCTCCAACCTCCACTCCAGAAGGGCCAGCCCTGTGCCTGTAACAAAGGCCACCTCCCACAGAACCAGACAAGTCCATTTAAGCAGCTGCCTCGTGCACCTACTCTTAATTGGTATGGTGCTAATTTGCTTCCAGGAAGCACAAGTCGAGAAATTCACCACACTACCTGATTGGTCAGTTTTTATGTTGTAAAATAAGCTCAGTCCCATGTTTAAAAGGCTGATTACATCAACAGAGAAGGGAGTAAAACCAGCACCAGTTTCATGTGTTGTTGTTTGGGGTTTTTTTAAATAAGAAATAGCCCAATTTTTAAACTTTTAAAAATCAGAGGAAGGGAGGAGGGAGTTGGTTTTTAATCACTGAGTATGTGCATTCTTATCCAGTATGGTGACATGAATAGGAGGATGCATTTAAAACATGGCAATAAATAGCAATACTCTGTTCCACTTTGGTTCTTCTCAAACCAAAATAGCATGTCTTGCTTTCAGCACCATCATCACCACACATCAACTTGCCATGTGAGCTCCAGCTCTGCTTAGTTTAGTTCTTAAGCTAATGCACAAATCTTTAAAAAGGGATTTGAGCTAGTTTTAATATTTTACATTCTTTGCAGCATTTTAAGATGATGTCTTGCTGCCTGAAGGCATCTTATTTGTATCTGCAGTTGCCAGCTGAAGCACATCCTGGACTTTTTGCCAGGCTGCACAGAAAGCCGAAGGAAAGGATGACCTGCATTTATATTTCATGGGGAAATGACATCAGAGCAGCAGTGGCTTTTAAAATATCACTCCCCAACTTGAGCTTTTTATTTTTTTTTTTTCTTTTGCTGCTGCAGCTTTGATCTGGAAGCATTGCTACCAAAGCAAGGCAAAGCAGAACCAGAGGAGACCGCTCCACAAATTAATCCTCATCCCGAAGTCAAGATGAGAAAGTCCAAAAAAAGAACAAAAAGAAGCAGTGTGGTGTTTGCTGATGAGAAGACGGCACCTGATCTTTCTGTGTCTGACATGAAATGTGTATGTTACTGATTTGGAGTAATATTTTATAATCCCTTAAAAAAAAAAAAAAAGAGGACATTTGTCCTTTGCTTAGGAAAAGGGAAAATACATCCCACAGAACTCCAGCTGGCTGGGGGAACGTGCAGGAGGCAGAGATGATTTGCCCTGCAAGGAAAGGAATGGGGGGGGAGGAGGGGAAATCAGAACATCTCTGCTTGCTGATGGTGGCAGATGACATGGCTCTGAAGCTGCCAATTCAAATTCTGAGGCTTGGTTCGTTTAAAACTGTGCTGGGAGGGTTAAACTGGCTCTCCTGTGGAGAGGCAATTGACTGTGCTGCCATCTCAGGGCAGCTCTCACAGTCAGGGCTATTTTGGAAGTGATGAGCCCTGGACAGTTTGTACCTTGTTGTGGAACAGGCAGCTGTTCAGAAACTGCAAGATTGCAAACGCTGCTCCTTAAATGTGCCAGCCTGGAGTCTGGAAGCAGTGGCATCTCTCACTCCATACATCATCTCAGTGCTTTGATGGCACTGCTGGATCATTAGGAGGACTTATATAACTTACACTGTGCTTTTATATACATATATATTTGTATATATTTGTATATATATGTGTATATATATATATATGAAGAGAGAGAGAGCTTAATTCTCAGGAGAATTTTCTTTTTGTATAAAGATTAATAAGCAAATAAGCATTGTATAAAATAAATAATAACTCAAATAAACAAAGAACTACACAGGGCTTGTGGATCAAGTCCTGTCAAAATTTAAAAGTCAGGCAGGACTTCAACAGGTTGTTGAATTAAACAGAGGGAGCATAAAGAGTTTGATCAGAAATTTTTTGAAGGATTCCTCAAAGGGGAAAAGAAGTGAGGGGAAAGCTAAGATTCTTTGGGGAAACAAGCAGGAACTTCTGCAAGATTGTGGTTGTCTCACACTAAGTGTCCTCATGCAAAAGAGAGATGTAAAGCACAGTCATGCTCTGAGAAGCATTGATATACAAATCCAAAATATATTGATATAGAAACCCAAAATACATTGATATACAAACCCAAGCAACACCTTTGGCTTTTGATTCAGTTAGATAACACAGACACTGAACTGTGTGGATTTCACTGAATATTGAGTTACAGGATCCTCTTTTGCTCACAGCAGCCGAGCTGGAAATGATAATGCAAAAAATGTTTTCAAAACTTCCTTTGTCTTTGCAGATCACACTCAGAGCTGTCTGATGGTGTTATGGCAAAAATAGGGTAGGAATACCATCCTACAGTTCCAGATTACTTCAGTAGCTTTTTAAAAATAGTTCTTTTTCTATGTAGAATGAGAAATATTGTCTGCAAACTTGTTACACGTTTTTAGCCAGTACTTAATATTATACCTGGACCTAATTCTCAGTTCATCATTAATGTCTTTTTTTTTTTGTTATTTTATTTTATTAAACAGCTCTCAAGGAAGTACGAGTTCATGAGTGACACCAACCTCTCAGAACACGTGGTGGCACCTCAGAAAACATCTGTCCTCAAGCAGATGAGCACTGTCAGTCGTTCTATGCCAACGATCCCAGGTAAGCTGCTCTCTCAGGGGTGAGAGTTCTGCATTTCTTTATCTGGAGCTGAGAAAAGAGCAATGCAGGGTTTGCTCCAAGCAGGGTAGGCAGCTCCCCCCACGTGCCTCTGAGACAAGGAGTGCAATGAAAGTGTGTGCTGTGTGTCAGGCATGGGCTGTGCTGCCCATGCAACGTGAAAAGTCTACAAATGTTGCTTCTGGAGCTCTGAATTTTCCTTCCTTGTGTAGTTTGGATGTTCCTTCTGCCTGGAAAGAGTAGAGGTTTATTCATGTTCCCTGACTTGCAAGGTCTCGTGTGCACAAACAGGGGCTCACAGCTGAGGGCAGTGTGTGTGGAACAGGAGACACTCAGTCTCTTCCTGTTGATGAACATCCCCAGAGGTTGTCCCATTGTAGGGTTTCTACTTCTGCTTTTGGAGTTGGAGAGGAATCCCATAAAGCTCCATCACATCAGGAGGAAGGGGAAACAACATAAGTGCCCACTGGACAGATGGAGGGTGGGATGGGAGAGAAGGGGACAGTGTGACTGAAGGTGGAGCTCATGTCTTGCCCAGGGTGCAGAGAAAACAGGCCCTGTGTCCTTTACCCCCTTCTTCCACATCCCATCCCATTCCTTACCCTGCACTTCACCTACCCCTCTCTTTCCAGATGTCTGTAACAGATGTTTAGCACAACACAACACAACATGGCTCACTTCTTTGTCATGTATTTATCTATTTTTAATTCTTTGACCAGATTGGTTTTGGGGACTTTTTCCACTATTGAGTTTCAATCTAATGAAGTTCAGTGTTTCCCCCTTACTTATTTTTGTATTCTAAGGATATCGTTGATTAAAAATACCTCTTTTTTTTTTTTTTTTCCCCTACTGAATGCATTATTTTGAGTTCTGCTTTGTCTCACTCTCTAACTCTCCTCTGTTTGGTTCTGTTTTGTGCACCCATCATGTTTCTGTTCCAAGGACTAACTCTGTCCGTCAGCACAGCAGCACCCGATGGGACAATTGCCTCACACAGGCTGAGCCAGCCGGTGTTCCCTTCCACCTCAGAGACCGACAAGAAAACCTTCAAAAAGAAGAAAGTGAACCAGTTATTTAAAACAATGGTAGGTCCTGTACCTTTAAGGAAAAACAACATCAACACCAAAAAATTCAAAAATTCTTTGCTATGAAAATTGAGTATTTCTAAGGTAACGTAGGATCGTAAGCCAAACTTTGCTTCTTTGTTTTTATTGCTGTCGTCAGAGAGTGGGGTGGAAGCTCGATGTGGGAGGCAAAGTGGCTGTGGCAGAGCTTGCAGGGATTTAGGGATGCAGGGGTTTAGGGATGCAGGGATTTAGGGATGCAGGGATTTAGGGATGCAGGGGTTTAGGGATGCAGGGGTTTAGGGATGCAGGGGTTTAGGGATGCAGGGGTTCAGGGATGCAGGGATTTGGGGATGCAGGGATTTGGGGATGCAGGGATTTGGGGATGCAGGGATTCAGGGATGCAGGGGTTCAGGGATGCAGGGATTTGGGGATGCAGGGGTTTAGGGATGCAGGGGTTTAGGGATGCAGGGGTTCAGGGATGCAGGGATTTGGGGATGCAGGGATTCGGGGATGCAAGGATTTGGGGATGCAGGGGTTTAGGGATGCAGGGATTTGGGGATGCAGGGATTTGGGGATGCAGGGATTTAGGGTTGCAGGGATTTGGGGATGCAGGGATTTGGGGATGCAGGGGTTCAGGGATGCAGATCTCTGTGCAGTTCCCCTCTGCACCACGAGAGGGCGCGCGTGGCCCGCGATCCCCGCGGTGCCGACACAGACGGGAAGCGGCGATTCCCGGTGGGATTCCCGGTGGGATTCCCGGTGGGATTCCCGGTGGGATTCCCGGTGGGATTCCCGGTGGGATTCCCGGTGGGCTGTGACGGCACCGGGCACGGGGCGCTGGGACCGCAGGGAGCTCAGCACAGCACAGACGTGCTCCCGTGAGCCGGTTCCCGAGGTCAGAGATGCTTATTTGAAAGTAGGAACTGGCTCACGCCGGAGTCCCCAGTGTTGCTTAGGACAGGCTGCTTTCCTTTAAAGGCAGAAACCTTTCGCTGGCTTCTGTGGAAAAGTCACAAAGTTAAAACTATTGAATTTAACGTTGTGCTGGACAGCCAAAAAAAAAAAAAAGTATGTTCAGTGCAGCTGTTAAGATTCAGAATTGGAAAGTTTTCCTATTTTTTCAGGTAGTGGGAGGGTGACATTTCACAGAATCACAGAATATCCTGAGTGAGAAGTGAGCCACAAGGATCATCCAGTCCAACCCCTGGCCCTGTCCAGGACAGCCCAACAATCCCACCCTGTTCCTCAGAGCGTTGTCCAAACACTCCTGGAGCTCTGGCAGCCTTGGGGCTGTGCCCACTGCTCTGGGGAGCCTGTTCAGTGCCAACCACCCTCTGGGGAAGAACCTTGTCCATCCTGATCCTCCCCTGACACAGCTCCAGGCCATTCCCTTGGGTCCTGTAACTCAGAGAAGAGATCAGTACCTGCCCCTCCTCTTCCCCCCATGAGGATGCTGAAGACCCCAGTGAGGTCTCCCCTCAGCCTCCTCCAGGCAGAACTGACCTCATCCCTCCTCATACAGCTTCCATTTAATTTAATTTTCTGGGACACTTGTAATATTCTACACATCAACTCTGCTGATCTTTCAAAGCAAACCATTTTCTAATTTTTGTTTTCTCTAGGGAATAGGTTTCATTTTCATCCATTACTTTCTGCAGTCTTTTAAAAAAAAAAAAAATTTGATAGTGCCTTCAGGGACCATAGAGAAATATTTGGGAAAACCTGCATTTAAATGTGTTCATAATCATATTTTCCTGGTAGGAACAAGAATAACCCATTAATTTGAAGTCTATAGTATTTCACTTACATTCAATTTATCACTTGCTCTTTTCAGACTCAGGAGTTACAGCTTTGCAGCATGATCTCATCCACTCACTTTTAAACCTAAACAGCATATAAAATAAGGAGGACAGAATGTCCTTTCTTGCATGCTGGAAAAAGAACTAACTAAAGCTAAAAATCCATTTATGAAGTGCTTCATAGCACGCTTGGAATCATGTGGACAGGTTTAAATACGGGTTTAAGGTTTTGCAGAATAGGGAAAATGATTTAAAACATCCAGGATTTGGTCGATGTCCCTTTTTTTTTTTTTTTTATTAAGCTACAACTTCAAGCCACAAGCTGGTAATTATTATGTGTATTACTGAATCAATACAGAGTCACTTAAACTTATGACAAGCTGCTTCTGTTCCTTTGCAGCGCATTTCCAGAGTTATGGAGGATGGAAAGCAGTCTGTGGAGCACCATTTCAAACCTTCATCTACAGATCTGTGATTAATTGTGTTACAAGGCCACTGCTCAGCTGAAAAAATATATATACAGACATATATTCTATTTTAGAGCACCATCTACTCCAAAGAAAGGCACTGATGGCTGATGGAGAATGTGAACAGCACTCCCGGGCTCTGATACTTGGGATACAGAGACAGGAATAACATTTGAAGAAAACACTGCAGGATGTGGGACAGAAGGACACCGAGCCTCTGGTTATACAGGTCGAAGGGAATGGTGTGATCCCCAGGGACAAACCTCGTTCCTGGGAAGTGAGCGGGACTGAAGGGCCACCTGCAATGCTCTGTGTGTGATGTGGGGCAGATCCTGCCCTTCCCAAAGTGCAGGGGAGCCCTGGTTTTCTGTAGCTTGCACAGACACACTCCAGCTGTCTCTGCACCCTCTGGCAGTGTAGTCAAGGCAACAGATGGCTCAGCACAAAATAGCCACTGACGATTTACTGCGTGGCTGTATCTGGGTTTCCAGCCCCCAGATCCCTCTGCTGCTCCCAGCACCTTCCCTGTATCCTCAGTCCTTCCTGGGTGATGGCCATGGCTGTGACACCGCCTGCCTGAGTGATTTTCAGAACAGCAGCTGTCGTGTTGAAAACATGCAAGAGTTTATTTCCACGTGTACAAATTGGCATGACATCTGGCAGTGTGATGAACAAAAGCTGCATTTTCTGCTGTTCAATAAAATGTTGAAAGTCTGTTTTACTTGCCTTGAACCTTTCTCCCTGAAATCTCTAGGTATCATCCTGTAAAAGGGAACAGTTTCTTGCTGACATGGAATTCTGTGAGTCCAAGTTCTCTGCTTTTGAACTGATTTTCTGTGTCTTCCCAGCTCCAGAGGTGGAGCTGGAAGATGATGCCTCACTGGTGAGAAGCTCCACAGCAGGTCAGCATCTTATTACCTGTCAGTTCTTTCTACAGGCAGGTAAGTCATCCGAACAGGGGGCTTTCTAAAAGATGAATAATTGATTTCCTTCACTCACCCTTTTATGTGTCAGACACCTACACTGGTTTATATAAAGTAAATAAAATATGACCATGTTGTAGTGCTGTGGAGGGGGGAGACTGGCCTTGCTGCCATTTATATGGATACAGGAAAGGCAAAGGGGTTGAAGTCAATCCTTGCTGAGAGGTTGAATCCATGGAAAGACACCTACAGCTTGTTCCAATCATAAGTATTTCTATCAACACTTTTAGTGTGAATAATTAATTTTAAGAATTCAGATTCTCTTTGCTAGTTGTCAGAGTGAAGCTGTTTTCCACAGGGGTAGTTAGTGATTGTTTCCTGGGAGAGGTTTGAAATATTCCCCGTTGGAACGAACACTGCACCGAGAAATGCTTTTCACCAGAACAACCACAGACAGCAAAATGGGTCCAGTTTTAACACCAGCTACAAGGCTTCTCCAGGGAGAACCCCTCTGTTTAGTAGAGAATGTTGTCTGTGAGTGGGAGAAAGTGAGAGGTTGAGGTGTGCACGTTCAACACCTGAGGGAAGAGGAGAGAGGGTACCCAAGCTGGCCTCCAATCTTACTTGCAGACATCACAAAGCTGTCACAAAATAAATAATTCTTTTAAAAGAAAAGTTTTGGCTCTGTTGGAAATGAGTAAGAAAAGGATGATTCAGCAACTGTTTGTCAAAATACCTGTCAAAGGCTAACTTTTGCATGGTGTCTTGCAGCTTTGTTTCCAGGTGAGTGGAAAAATAAGAGTTTTACCTCAAAGTGTTGTTATGAATTGTTACTGAAGTAGTGCGACTCAAAATAAAAAAGTATGAAAAGTGGGAGTGAGGTAGGAGCCCAGAAACCAATACCAGGAAGGCAGGAACAGTGTCCAAAGAAAGCTTGTGTTTTGCTCAGGTTTTAGTACAGTTTTTGGTGGAAGGCTTAGATTTGCATTTCATTTACTAAAGATCAGCAACATTTTTATTAGTTGTCCCACACCCCAGATTGGCCTCTACCTGCCAGCCCACGTTTCAAGCCTGAAATCATGAAAGTCAACTAGGAAAACCGAACTCAGAAAACCAAAATTAAGAAAAAATAAATGTCAGGGGCAATTTCCAGAAACTGTGGATACTGACATTAAGTCCAAAAAAACAACATAGCACGAAGGACAATTGATGCCCTGGGATAACAAACTGCCAGTGTGGCAATCTGGCAAAGTTTGGTTAAAAATGTCGTTTCTGTCACAAGCTCAGCAGGCCCTTAGCTCTTGTGTGCAGAGGAAGGTCTGCTCAGGTGGCACAGAACATCCCACATTCTTTGAGGTGAAGCCCAGAGGGCAGGGATTTACTCCAGGGTGCTGTCTAAGGGAATTACTGAAGCAGGGGTGGCTGCAGTTGTGATCTGTACAGCCCTGCCACCTCTCACCGTGCAAGTCAGGAAAAAACAACGATGTTCTCATATGTTTTTTGTGTCAGTTATTCCCCTTCTCTCCCGTGTTTCAAATAGGCTGGACAGTGCCAGTCTGGAGTTCTGTTGTGTGGCACAAAGTAACAATTGGGTCGTGTGGGTAATTAATGATGTGTTTGCAGGGGGTGGGAAAGCTGCTTTGCAGCTGAGGTTTGGCGTGCAGGGAGCTGATACAGCACGGGATGCATTTAAGCTGCAGGATGTATGTTCAGTTTAGGCAGATGGCTGAGTTTTGGACAGACTCAGGTACCTGGGAAGCTCTCATGGAGTGCAACACCATGCCAGGGATGCTGGTCCAGCTCCAGGAGAGCTGCTGTGTCAGTGCAGCACAAGGTCTGGTCTCAGACAGCAAAAGTTGGCATTCACCCACATCAGGGTACTCAGAGTGTCCTTATCTGCCCTGGGCATCCAGCCTGCCCTTGTTTGTGCCATGCGGTGATCCCGAGTCCTCATTATGGAATTATGACTTAACTGTTCGCTTTGGCAGGGAATTTAATTCTCTTAAAATTTCTATAAAAATTAGCTGGTGTGAGCTGTAGGAAGGTGATCAGAGTCTAAGTCAATAAGGATCAAGTTTCTGAGGAGGAAGGAGAGTTTTATTAAAGATTTTACAGACCTCAGGAACACATTGTTCCTGGACTGGGAATTAATGTGTGATAGAGCTGTGTACCTGCTCAGGGACTGCTCGACATTGAACTTTTATCTGTGTCACACACACCTGTAACCTTCTTTATTAGACAACAGAGATTGTGGGTGAGTAGAATCATGGAATGGTTTGGGTTGAAAAAGACCCTTAAAAAGTCCCAAACACCAGTGGGGGTTTTTGGTGCCACGTTAGTTATTCTGTGAGGAGTCCATAGACACATTAGGCACAAATGGATTTCTGTTTTCCTTTTCCTTATTGGTATTATTTGGCCTGGCTTTTGGCTTTTTCCCTATTCCCCCAATTTGTTTTGTCAAGTCCCTGCCCTTTCTTTAAGGACTCATTGAACCAGATTCTGTCTCTCTGTCTTGGGACACCACAGCAGAGAGAGAGGATTGGCTTTGTTCATAATTTCAGAAGGGCAGAGTTTTAAATTAAGAATTTTCTGGTCTGTTTATGGTTGATAGAAGGAAGCTGTAATGGAATAACAGCAGAAAGTTTCACTCAGTCTGGAGGACATAAAGTATCCAGAGAGTCAATGAGGATGTTTTAGCACCAAGTACAATATTCTATTGAGTGTCCTAAGGCAGCAGCCCTTTTACTGTAAGAACTACCCGAAGGGCAGTTAATCACCTGAGCAGGCAAAAACCAATAAACCCGCTCCAAGCACTTGTCCAGAGCTCTAAGAAAAGCGGGGGAGTGGATGGGCAGGTCAATGCTTTTGATATTCATGGCTTTGCTGGTGTTCGTTTCATGGCTGGTGGCAATGGTGCAGCAAACTCTTTCATTCACAATCAGTTCAGGTACGTGGAAAGAAAACACTTGGAATGATGGCAAACTACTGAGACGCTGAAGTGGACTGAGATTGATTTGACCTAATCAGTTTGAATGTGAAGTCTCTCAGCAGCTCCACAGCTGGTAAATCACCCACTCCAGTCTATACCCAGAGCCCTGATGAGACTTTGCATGGATTGCACTAATGAGTATGGATTTCTGCTCGGGGCTGGGATAAATCCATAAGTATTTTGTTGTTCTTACAACTGTACAGACTCTGGATCAAAGCTGCTGACTATGTAGGAGCATTTTTGAAATAATGATACAGCTTAAATCACTAAAAGCTCCTCACGTTCACAGCCATCCAACCACACAATTCTCTGTGTTAACTTCCTCTTCTGTTTTCAAGGATTTTAGCTTAACTATCATGAATATAACAAAAGAACCTTTTTTTTTCTGTTTGGGTTTTGTTTTTTTTTTTTTTTAATGTTGTTTCAGTAAAAATCTGTTTAACAGATGGAACATTTATCCCAGAGCCTGACTCAGTATATGCCAAACAACAACGGGAATCGTTCACTTGGGGCATTCTGCTTTAAACAAAAGCACAGGTCAATTCTCCAGAGGGAGGGAAGAGAAAAGGAATAACTTAACCAAACAAAGGACATTTCTCATGGAGAAATCAAGAGAACTTGGGCAATTCAAAGCCAAATTGTCTTTTGCATCACCCCTTTTTTTAAAACCATTTCTGAGGAGGGAGGAAAACCAGTTTAAGGATCCTTTCCTCATTAATTTTGGATGTGGATATGTCCATCTTTATATATATATTTTTTTTTCCTCGAGGAATATGGAAGCCTGCTATGAAAAAACTTGCAGCCATCTCCTATCCTGGATGCCTGGAGTAGTCACTAGCATAGAAATTATTTGTATTTCCCTCCCAGAACTCAGTTCCTGCTTGCTTTTAGGCATTCAAGGTCCTTTTGAGGGGGAACATTGAGCAACGATCCAGGGGCTGCCCTCAGTTGTAAGGACTTCAGCCCTGGCACCATTTACTGCTGCGGGGTGAGGAGAGGAGTTGTTCTTTATTGACTCGGTGCGTGATTCCTGTTCTGATTTGCCATCGAGCTGCAGTGTGTGCTAAAGATTAACACTGTAAACGAATAATTGCTCTGCAAACAAACCTGGGGTAGGCCACGGATTTCATAAACTTTAAAATGTTAGGTAAATTTAATCGTGGTTTTAAAGTGAGGATGGTTTGTTCTGATTGGGGTTTGGAAAGAATTATCCTTTCTCGACCTAGTTCTGTGTCTTCCAGGCCAGCAGACATCATCTCTGTGCCATGAGGGATCTTTGCTGGGATCCACTGAGGGTGTCTGTGCTGTAACAGCACCTGTGTTAAGGATTTTTTCATGTGTGTCAGTGCATTCTGCAGCTCCAGATGCCCCATCTCGTGTGGGTATTCAGCCTGCATTTAACACCAGGTTCACATGAGAGGTGTGAACGATCTCTTAGTCAGCACAAAATGGGTCTTCCCATCACTTGCATTAGCTCAGCTCATGGTAGGTGCATGTTGGGGGTGTTACCGTGGGGTTGAAATGGTGATGGATTCAAAAAGCACAGGAAAGGTGATGGGGAGCAGAAAAGACTCATGTAAGGCATCTATGCCCTGAGCTGGCAGGCTGGCAGCCGAAAAAAGAGGCTCATCTCGGTGAGCTGGTAGGAATCTTGCAACTGGAAAATGGCTTAAACAGATATTTGAGGGAAGGATTTCTTCAGAATGTTTGGTCACATGTTTTTATAGAGAAGAAAACAGCCCTGGGTAGAATAGCTTTAGATGCAGCTCTTTTAGCCTGGAATGTTGTATTTTATTTGACACTAAAGCACATTAAGGTTGGATACCTGGATTGTGCAAATACTGAGGAATGGGAAGTCTTTCTTTCAGCTGCTTTGACACACTTGACAATGCATTAACTTGTAAAATCTTTCCTAACAACTGCATTTAGACTTCTTCCACAGGACAGGAAAACAGCACTGTTGGAGATCAGGACTGGGAAATAAAAAAGTAAAGGAAACAAAACTGAAAAAAACCAACATAAGTCTCTAAATTTACCAGAATTTCCACACGGTTTTCCAAAGCAAATGAAGGATTCTAACAGGAACCATTTAAAATGTTTACATGTCCCAAGGGTTATTTTTGCAGGTGATATTGCCCAGGCGACACCAGGATCACACCAGGACGGGAGATGTGATTGTTCTCCAGGGCAGGGCCGCACGAAATCCACACATTTCCACCGATCGTCACGAGGGGGCGATGACCAGTCGCGATACTTTGCCCATATCGTGGAACTCCAGCGAGCGATCTCCCTGCCCGGACACCGGGAAGACCGAAGCGGAGCAGCAGCTGGAAGTGCGAGGATTCACAGCTCTGTAAATCACCCTCTCCGCACGTCAGGTTATCTTGGTTTGGTGCAGTTAAACCCTGGTTACACTACAACAACCCGAAGTTTATGTAGGGCTGAGTGTGCCCAGAGAGGAATTCCCTGCACTGACTTGCACCAATTCACTCCCCCGTTTTAGTTGCCAATTAATTTTCCCCGAGTGTTTGTGCTGTGAGAGTACAAAAAGTTGTGGAACACTGAACAAAACCATTTTTTTTTCCTTAAAAAAGGAAGTCACGTTTTCTGAAAATCATTGTCTCTAAAATGTCTTTTCAATTTCAGATTTCCATTTCAATCATGGAGTGGGAGGAGCTCCTTTATCCATCCCAGCAAATACCTTGATGCTGAAATGTGACTGAAGCAGAAATATTAGCATGTTGCTACTTTTTCTTTCTATAAATCACTGAAAAGCATTGAAACAAACAAATTAATTTCATTGACATGCACAAAAATTTAAACCTTAAAGGGTTTTGGAAAGGTGTTCAGATTAATTGCACATCGATGCTCTTACAGCAGCTCATTTGATTTTAGCACCGTTGATTTCTAGTGTAAACAAATATTTCGTGTGAGTGTAGAAGAACAAGCAGATAATCCAGAAGAGGGAAGCATTTGGAAAGCTGCAACAGCAGTGAGGCTGTCCAAGTAGGATTGATTAAATATCTATATTCATATTAATTTCCTATAATTGAGAGGGACACCTTGGGTTCTGCCATGAGAAGAATTTGTTCCAGCCTGTGTGATTCAGCCCTGAGCTGTCCCTGTTCCAGGGCTGAGCGTGGCTGTGTCTCCAAGTGCAGCAGATCCCATGGGAGCCACAGGAAGCCAAAGAGAAGCTGGAGATTCCTTGCCTGCCTGGGGCTGTCACAACCCATACATAACCCAGGGGACACCTGCTCCCCTCTCCCACATTTATTATGTGTTGGCACGGTGGTGGAAAGGCTTAGTTGAGGCAGGAGTTACAGCTACTTTTGCTGTCACAGTTCTCATGGTCAGAAAGCAGCTACAAGCCCTTACAAGGATTTCACGATCTTCTAAAAGCTCAGTTATAAAGTTGCTTTAAAAATCCACAGGGATTTTGTTCTGGAGGACTTGAAAAGTCTAAGGGCATTTTGGCATTGCAGCATTGATGGCACAGCTCCAAATGATATTGCCTTTTCCATTAATTTAATGGTCAACCTACATTTCTAGAAATGTTTTGTGATGCTGTATTTTACATTTCTTATGCTGTTTGTAACGTCCTTGAGGTGACATTGCTTTGCCTGCTACACCTTGTTTCTTCTGATGGTGTGGTTTAATTTGCAGATTGTGGGCAGATGGTTATTGGAATGAGACATGAAGTCTTCTACAACTGATGTGAAAATGTGGTGTTGATGGACACTGAGCTGCCTCTGAATTCAGGGTGGGAATTGTTTGACACCAGGTGGGTTTCTTGCTACACCGACTTGTATGTGAACTCTTTCAAAAACGCTTTTCCCCTCTTCTTTGTGACCACATGAATAGTTTGTGTGAACTTTTCTTCAACCAGGTGTTAAACTGTGCTAATACATCAGGACTGGGGTGGGCACAATGTTGTCAGTATAACCTAAACTTCATCTTCAGCAGAAGGAGCTCTCTGCATCGTGGGATTATCTGGCAATATGTTGCATGATCTGAATCAAGTGTAAACACTCAATTTAATTTCTGATTAACCAGCTGAAGTACAGGACGCAGAGTGCTTGATGTTGCCTTTGTGAGGGACAAGTGAAGTGCAGTGAGTTATAAGATTTGCCAGGATAAATCTTCAACCAAAAAATCTTGAACTTGTTTAAGCCATTAGAGTGGGTTTGTGCTCTGCTGTACTTTGCATCCTGCAGGATATGCTGCTTTATTGCTCCGAGTTCTCTAAACCACTGTGAAACAGCATGATGACCTGAAGATTCTTGTGGGACTATCAGGTATCATGCCTTATTTTGCTTTTTTCATTTTGGGAAATCCGATTAGGAAAGCAGTTTGTTGTATCTCAGCCAAAACACTACACAGTGTTCCTCATATTATTCTCTATTTTCTGACTCCATGTGGTGTTGCTTCCCACTGTGCTGGTGTGTACACACCTCTCACTGCGTTTCAGGAGCACTGGATGTAAAGGTTACTTTGGTGTATAAATGAAAATGCTGAGGAATCTTAGTTGATAACCTTTCATAGCCCAAGCTTTCAGATAATTATCTTTTCCCTTCTAAAAGGGCAGTCATTGTGAAGAAATATTGCTGTTGGCTGGAGTAGAGGGGTACACAGGAGCTGACCTAAAAAACCTATGCAAAGCAATGGTTCTGCAGGGGCTCATCCTCAACCTTGCAGATTTTGGAGCTTCACTTAAGAAATCGAGAGGAGCAAATATTTGAATAACTCAGGAGCTGTCAACAGTGTTTGGTTTGACAACAATCTGTGGCTGATCAGCCTTGCAGCTGGTGGGGACATGCACTCAGGGCTCTGCAGGACTGCACTGGAGCAAAAAGAAATGTTAAAAACATGATGCATCCTGCACAGTCAGACCAGACCTCACCCAACCAGATGCACTTGGAAGTAATGGTCATTAAACTGCATGTCCAGCATCAGCCTGCCTTTTATTTGCAGAGTTATTCAGCCCTAAAAGTGGTCTGTTCACTCAGCTTGGTCAGCACATCGCCTTTTCCAACCTCTTTCTATGGAAACCTCACCATTTTTTCCTTCCTCCACTTCTGGGCTTGCTGCCTTCTTGCAGCCCTGCCAAGGAGAGGAGTGTCAGTGCTGAGGACCCCATGGCAATATTCAGTTAACTCCAGTTCTGACAGCCCATCACAGCTTGAACAAAGTTTATTCCCTCCTTGCTGCCTTGAGGAGCATCTGCCCCACGAGCGCTGCCCGGGAGCGCGTTCTGCAGTGCCCCTGCAGCACCAAGGTGTGCCCAGAGCAC